AATTAATATCAAAGAATACATACTCTTTAGAAGTGGTATTAAATTGTTGAATATTGGTATTAAATGAATAAATAAGTTATAGCTTAAATTACTTGAAGAAATAGATATTTTTTTAATTATTATTTTTCTAAAAAGAACACTATATTGCTAATCATTTAATTAGGTACAAAATCAATTAGTGATGCTATTTTTTTAAGTAACAAGGAAGTTGCGTGGTATTATTATTATTATTATTATTATTATTATTATTATTATTATTATTATTATTATTATTATATATTAACTGATAATTTTTAATATGAATCAACAAAATATATTCGACTAATTTAACTATTCTTTCTTTACTTGGCAATCATTTAAAAATTTTTACTATTTAATCATAACATTTTTATAAAAATATAATATTTTTATCACAAAAACCGTATAAATAATAAAAATATATTTAATGTGATTTTTTGTGAAAAAAGTTCATATTTATATATAAGTATAAAAATAAAAATTCATAGAGTTTGAATGCATAATTAAAAATTTTCTTAGCTAATAATAACATGAAACAAAACCTAATTGAATATTTATTAAAAATAAAATAATAAAATTGTATTTGTTGCATTTGTGCTTGTGAAGAACGAGTAAACATAATATTCTATAAGAAAAAATAAAATAAAATAAAATTGTATAATTTTTATAAAAAATTGTAAGAATTGTATAATATTGGAAAAATAAAGTAAAATCAAATCAAATTGGAAAGACAGAATGTTGAAAATCAGAATGTATTTGATTATTTATTTAATTGCATGTTAGATATTTATGCATGTGGATTTTATTGGAAGGGAATATTGGTGAATTGAAAAGCACATGCAATTTAATTAAATTTAATTAATTAATAAATAATCTAAATCATAGTACTTCCTTACATACCAAAATTTTTAAAAATATAATTTAATAAATAATTATAGTATAATATAAATATTTTATATTAAAATCAAAATAACTAATTAAAATTTTAAAAAAATTAAAATATATATATTTCCTTCACCCCATAATAAAATATTTATTTTTTTTATTTTAATTTGTCCCATAATAAAATATTCATTTTTTTTAAATAACTGACTATCTATCTTATATTATAAATACTCTTATAATTTAAAATAAAAATAAAAATATATAATTTAAAAATAATATTAATATTTTTAAAATTACGTACAAATAAAAATGAAAATATATAATTTGAGAAATAAAATGTACATAAACAAGAAACGTGGTACGGTAATAAAATAGGAGAGGATAAGGATGAGTGATTTGAAACAAGCAGTCTCATCAAAAGACCCTTTTTAGGCTATTCATTATATTAACTTCATCTGTTCACTTCACGTCATGTCTTTTTTTAATTCTTTTTAGGTTTTTTTTTTTTTTTTTTTTTTAATATCGATTTTGATATGATAGTATAGTTTGTATTTTTATTACTCCCTCCTTTTACAAAGTCATTAATCCTTTGTCCTATAATAAAATATCAATTTTTTTATTTTAGTATGTCTTATGATAAAATACTCTTTCCGTTCCAAACAAGGTATAATATTTATTTTTGGCACGAAATTTTAAGTGGGTAGTATTAAATAGGATAATTTAGAAATTAGGTGATGTGATAGACAGAATTATATATTTTTTATTTTTTTATTTAGATGATGTGAGGAGATAAAATGTGAGATAGAGATTAAATATAATTAATTATTTCATATTTTAGAAATATTGCATGGTGTTTGGGACATATCAAAAATGAAATATTGCAGGATATTTGGGATGGAGGGAGTATTATTATTATTTTTTTAGTAACTTTACTGTGTACCTAACATTATAAATATCCTTACAACTGACAATATATTACACAAATATCATTACATTTATATCACACATACTAATAAGGTTATTTTAGTTATTTCTACTTTATTCCTACATCATCTTAGTATAATACTAATATTTATAAAACTACGTACAAAAAGCAAATGAATATCTAATTATGAAACAGAAAAAGTATTTTGTATGCGTTATTGTAAATATGAGAATTTAGGTAAAATATGATTAATAAATAATTAAAAAATGTATTGATAAAACTAATTATTATTTAATAAAAATAATTATAGATTAAAAATTAAGATAATTAAATAATTTAATTAAGATTAAGAAAATTATAAATTCTGATGTTTAAAATATGATTAAAATGTATAATTATTTTTGCAAAAAAAATAACAAATTATGTAGAACAGATATAAATAAAAAATATGAACAAATTACGTGGAACGAAAGAGTATATAAAAAAACATTATTGAAAAAAAAAAAATAAATAATTTAGAGGTATGTTTATTTTGTGTTTTGATTTATTTTATTTTTTAATAATTATTTATTAAAAATCGTATAACTGTGCGTTTGGTTTAGATTTCAAACCAAAATCTACACTCCTTGTGTTCATAATAAAAATAAATCATTTTTCTCATTGTATATAAAATATAAATATTATTTAAATTTTTTTAAAAAAAACCCTCAAACTCAAACCCAAACCAAACTAATTAACTGTGTCTGTGTGTTTGTATGAAAATTTGGATTTGGATTTAAAAATTTGAATAGTAAAATTTTGAATTGAAATCATCGTATGATATGGTTTAGAAAATAAAAAAACAGACGTTTAATTTAATATTTTATTTAAAAAAATATATAAATAGTAGAGATTTGATGAAATTTGATAAAAGAATCACAAAAACACAAATTTGAAAAAAAATATATATATACATTGTAAATATGATTAATTTATTCAAATCTCTATTCAAAATAGCAGAGACATCATATATTTTAATTTATTCAATCTAAAACATCATATATTTTAATAGGAAACTCAAACCAAATCAAAAATAAACACACTTACGTGATCCAAAAAAAAAAAAAAAAACTCACATATGCTCTGTAAATTCTAACTGGATAACTGACATTATTGATACAATTTTATATAATAAAAAAAATTAAAGTAAAAATCTATATATATCACAGCCAATGAATTATGGGATTTTTAAATTTGTTTCCAACCTCTCAATTTTCTCTAATATATACCACTCAAATACTCATTTTCTAGTTTCTTTTTTTTCAAAAAAAAAAAAAAAAAAAAAGAAAAAAAAAAGACCACATTCAACACATACTTCGTCTAAAACAAAATGAATATATTATTGAAAAAGGGTAATTATATGAACTTATTTATGGGTAACAGAAACCACTTTGAGAAGAAGTCTTGAAGAGGCAATAAATAAAGATTGGAATAATTTCTTGACTGATCGATGCTATAACATTTCACGTATGCCAAAATGAGCTTTATTCACAAAAAGGGACTTTGATAGTTACCTAAATACTTTGCAATATCTAAATAAACAACAAATATATAACTTTATATGAAAATCTTCCCATCACAATTATTATAATAATTATCAACACAAAAAAGGGCTTCATCACACAACACACATTAGTGGCAATTTGGTCGCTTTGACATCACAAATCATTAGCTATTGGCATACTCAATTAAATAGGGACCAAAATAACATACTACTATTTTTATATCATTTCAAAAAAAAAAAAAAAGACATTCATTTTGTTCAGTTTTGGTACAAAACCAAAAAAAAATACTTTTCAAATTGTACGATGTCCAACAAATATACACAATTTCGTCTTACAATATCATATCAAATTACTATTTACATCAAAAATAAATTTTCGATAAAATCTATCAAAGCACAAGTAACTCTACCGGTGTACATACCTTATTCAACTTATTCCAACACAAGTTTTATAAATTGTTAATACATATTTTCTCCATCGGCTAACAATATATACATTTTGCTATTTAGGGTATTAACAAGCAATAGACACTTATTTAATGTCCTACTATTTAACATAAAAGTGCCAAAATACCCTTTTCAACTCACATTCGGGTATTGCAAGTTAAGGATATTTTAGTCTTTATACGCCTCCAATCTATCTACTAAATAAAAATATTACTATTAACTTATTATTCTTTACTCAACATGAAAACAGTATATGTATCTATTGTTATGGGACGAAGAAGTGAGTAGTATTATATAAATTGAATGTATAAAACTATTAGAAAGAATAGAAGATGAGTCCCTTGTAGCAAAGAACGCTTTGATAAATTTTACCAGTGTATAAATATATCTATTAACTCACTAACTTATTTTTTACTCAAATAAGTAAATTGACATCCAAGTTTAGAAGAAGCCATGTGATTCAAGTCAGTCTTACTCTTTAAAAATATATATATATATATACATACATATTGTGTATGTACATATGCCCATAGGGGAGAAGGCCAGAAACAAGTTATCTCTACCACATATGCTACTGACAGCCTTGCCCACAAGAACATGCATTTGCTATAAACTTAAAAAGGTGCTTCAAACAAAATATCGTCGACAACAGTACAGTAAATTCTAGCATATAGCATCAATTTACCCAGTGCAAGAAATAAATGGGAGCAAATTACCTTGCTGCAGGGGAAGGCAGGTAGCAAGCAAGCAAATTAGCCTAGCTCCATCCTCCAGAGTGTGTTGGGCTACAAGAGCGAAGATGAAAGTTAAAAATAACTAGACAATCGATAACTTTGCAGTCACCTGAAAGACGTGCGGCTGAGCTCAACAGGCTAATACAGAAAACTGAACTTCTTAAGTTTGTATACCTATTCAACATAGGGGGAATATGAGGTAACCAGAATCGTCTAATAGAACTTTCTCAGTTAATGGATGCATAAAGAATCACTAACTGCGAATGGAATTAAGAAAAGAGTAGCAACCAACATGGAAATCGAGAGAAAACAACATATAATAGAACTCGAATGTACTTTGAACCAACTGATTGGAGCTTAAAGTAACAATAGCAATATGATCTGTACCAATTAGAGAAAACAATTAGCAAGAATGATTGATATTAAATTACGACAAAAGGTGGATTGACTTGGCCTGACAGATATTACTGGAATGACGGATGAGTTCTTCTTTGCGTACAGTGAGATACATCTAATTACCAAAATTGTTGAAAGAAAGCCGAGCACGAGCAATATGATTAGTGGCAAGTAAAAGTTTTTGGGGTTCAAATACAAAAGTTAACACGGAAAGCAATTTGCCCCAAAAAACTTGTGGAGGCTGGCTAAGTGATGGGTGTAGATATACTGCGAACTTGAAAAGAAACCTCATCTTACAAAAACAACAACCCATAAGCTTATCTCATTCAGACAAATCATCTGGATCACTCCAGGAAATTGTATGTACTGTGAATCTGCAAGATAGGTGATATAAAATGCTTTTAGTAAATTGCAAGAGATCAAAAAGACAACATAAAAGATGCAACAAACTGCATACCTACCAGTATCATTCCTCTATCAACGATTTCAACTGTTCTCTGAATGACGATATTTTGCTTGCTTCAATGGCCATCACTAGACCCATTGAGTGGTAATGCTTAAGCTGCATTCATAAGAGAATTCAAGTAAGAAACTGTTTGCCATACAAGAACTGTTAAGTACTTGTGAATTAAAAAATAATAACAAGAATAAGAAGAAATTCAAGCAAGTCGACAACTGGAAATAATAGAGGATGAACTTGTTGAACATTTAGCAATACAAGGAATCACATGACGGGGTGGAAGACTAGAAGAAACATCTTGTTCCTAACTTAAACAGATAGCTAGTGATAGCAGATTACCCGAAGCATAAGATTGACAACAGTTGCCGCAAATTATCAAAAGATATGATGTAGTGTGAAATAGAAACACTTGCCTCATTAGGTGTGACATGCGTCGTACTCAACGGAAAGCTGAAGGACCATGAGCTAAGCTGCAAAAGCAGTTCAGAAAGATTAGGCTTCATAGCCTAGAAAACAGCAGCCAAATAAAATTTTGCACCTCATGAAAAATTTCATCTTCAGGTTTAGCATAAACTATGGGCTCTTCTCCCTTTTTATTCGACCCTTTAATCTGATCTGCATTCTTGTGCTGCATTCAAGCACAGAAAAGAAATTACCCACCAAAATAGATCAAGCAACAATAACATATTAAGAGCTCCTCCAACAATTTACCTTGTAAATTGTGCAAATAATAAGATAAAATTTGAAACAGAAGCTATTCCGGAGCTCCTCTGTAGGCTTCAAGAAGAAGATATAGTAAGGTATAGCTGAGATGATACGAGCATCTAAAAAAAACAAAAATCAACCATCTAGAATTGCTAGCTTACCTCATCTTCAGTTGCCCATTCTACTTCATCAAAGAGACCATCGTAGAGCGGAGGCAAAAGCTGAGGGGGAAGATTTACAACACGCTTGGAGACGATAAGACCAACATCATGAGCCTGGTCTTCTAATAAAGTCCGAAGCTTATTGATCACATTTGAGTCATGACACACCTTAATAAGGTGATCCTTCAGCTCGGCGATACATTTGTTATCCTGGTAGCCAAATATCTTAATAATGAATGATCCAGAAATTCTGAAAGCAAATAACGGTGAAGAAAGGCTAAAGCAGCAGAAAAAATAAAGTTTAAAAGCTCGCCTTATATCTTCCTATATTGAGAGCAGAAACAACAGAGTAGACTCCATCATCTTCATCATTCTCTATCTTAACCACAGTCCCAACTGTCGGCTGCCCCAATATCAAGTCCACAAAGCCGCTAAGATCCCACTGCTTTTTATCAAGATATGACTGTAGAAGGACCTTCACGCCATGGAAGTCGCTAGGTTTGGGATCAAAAAAGACAAAATCTGCTTGAACAACTCCCTTACGTAACAAATGAATTCCAACCAAAAAAAAAACAAAAATGAATTATGTGAGCGCATATCCAGAAGTATCAAATCACTTGTAAAAAGTTACATATCTAACCTCAGAATCTTCATTATCCGAAGAGTCAGATTCCTTAGTATTATCATGGTTTGCAAACCCATTAGCTGAAAACATAAACCACAATTGAAGTTCATAGCCAAAAACAACAGACATAAGCGGGGCAGGGAAATGAATGCCAGATGAAAGCATACCAGAAGATGATGGAAGATCATCTCTGCGTTCCTGAATATCTCGTCTAGTTCTTTTACTAGCAGCACTCATAGTCATTAATCTACCAAATGGAGAAAAGGTGAGAGGGTGGTCTCTCAATAACCCGGATTTCCGCTTCATTCTGTAAAATATGAGACAAAATCAAAGTGAAAACATTTGTCAAAATTCTTCGAAACTCAAATTTATGCAACTGAGCAGCTTAACAGTTTACTTTGATACATAGGCCAACCACCGCAACAGATTAACATAAAATTTCAAGATCCTAATATGAATAGGCACACACTCCATCTTGAAGTGGATTAAATTCATCATTTAAAGTAACCTAACCTATGGAATATGAATGTGATTTAAGTAAATTTCTCCTTACCTGTGCTATACTATACAAGAACACCCAAGCCAATACAAGAAACAGTTCAAACTCCTCTCAACTCAACTCACCACACCACCAATCATGTGCAATTGAACATCAATTTCATCAATCCTCAATGGAAATACGAATTGAATCAACTAAATCAAAGTAAGGAATTCAAGAATTGGGGAAATCAATCAATACGAGCAAACATCTATAAAACTTTACTGTGAAGAAACTTCTACAGTTATAGGGTGTGTTTGTTCGGTGGATTGGATTTTAATCTCAATATTCATCCCATTTTTTTCCACCAAAAACACCAAATCAAATACCAATTTTTCATTTTTTATATTATACTAAAAAAATCAACTTTACATTACGCTATTCAAATTCAAAATTTTTACCAATCAAATCCCAAGTTAAAATTCAAGCCCCCAAACAAACATACTTAAAGAACTACCTTGAATGCCGGCGTCTTGGTCCCAGTCTGGTCCCGCACTGTGCTCGGTGTTAGGCGGGGAAAGGGGAAGTCTAGGCTAATTCTTGTTCTCCCTAACCCAAACCCAATTTTCACAATTCGTCTCCCACCCCACGGCCTTCAGAGATAGAGCAGAGGCAGCAGGATATCGTGGCCCCGGAAATTTAACCAGAAGTTGACGTCTGGGAGCTGCGTTGGCCTTCACCTGTTTCCGGCGGTCTATGCGTGTTTATGCACGAATCTGAAGAAGACAAAGATGAGGTTGAGGAAAATGAAGAAGATTCCGGACGATGGATGAAGACGAAGTCGGCAAACAAGAACGATGGACGGAGGGACGAAGACGACGGCGGGGCTTTGCGGGTAGGGTTTTTATTTATGCACTCCCTCCTCCGTACCGTTAAATTGCGATTTTTTGTTTTTTACATGCCATTATATTCATTTTTATGAAAATAATAATAATAACAATAAATTTAATAAGAATTAAATTTTAATTAATTTAAATTAATCTATGTAATATGTAATTTTTATTTTTTTTTCATTTTCAAATAATTTTATATTAGATATGTAAAAATATGTTAATAAAATAAAAAATATTAATATTTTATATTTAATATTATATTATATTTTTTATAATATTAGTTGCTAACATATTGAAAGTTTTTTTTAGTTGGATAAACATATTCGAATTTTTTATTCATAACTATTTTAATGATTTATTTTTAATTAGAAATAAAAAATATTGAATTGATGAAATATAGTGCCTATCATGCTGAAAAAATACTAAATATTTCAAATATTTTGTATATTAAAATTTGTTGTCTTCTACATGATACTTTATTGAACTTTTTCAATATCGGTGTATAGTTTGTCACTATCTATATATATATATATATCGAAATATCAAAATTATTTTGCTATACAACAAAAATAATATATATTGTGTTGATATTTTAGTATTAAATATTTTGGTATATTGATACAAAATTCTTTTTTTTTCATATATCATAAAAATTATTTTTACTTTGATATTTCTGTATGAAATACTAGTATATAACAATGTTTTTTTATACCAAATCATGTACTCTATATATTTTTATTACCGAATTTTTAGTATACTGACTATAATATCGATATTTTTTTAATATAACGCAAATTTCTGAAGGGTATACGAAATGACTCGGCATTTCATAATGTCATATTGAATCATCCCTATTTTTAATTATGTTTTGTTGGGAACTCTCGTTTGTGGATAAATAATTAATTACTACGTTTTTATAACTGTTCGAGCTTTTAGGTGAAACGGTCATTCTATATCCGACATTATATCAGAGCCTATGCTATATCTCAAGTTCGAGTCTCACTGTCCCAATTTGCGGCATACGGATATAATCCGAAAATATTGATTTGATACTTTAAAAAAGAAATACTAGTGAATAATAAAAATTTTGAAAAAAACATAACAAAAATACATTTTTTTAATTTATATTTTAAATGATTACAACACTAATTTATTACAAACAAATTCAAATTTATATTTATATTTTTCAGGGTTTGTTCTTTTACCAAAAATTTTTTAACATATTTCTCAAAAAAATAAAATAATATATTACGTATATTTATTATTTTTATATTACATACACAATTTTATATACTTTACATAAATATATATATATATAATCAAAACACGAAACAACATCATTCCTCCTTGAAAATTTTATTTTAGAATTAATATTCATAATATTAGTTAGTACAATAAATGAGATTAAGTAATAATGTAAATTTAACTCAATCATTAGAGAAATAATGTACTAATTACATGGGCTACTTTACATTATATTTAAAAAGTATCAGTTATGATTTATTTAATATAATTACTAATTAACTATTAAATAATGTTTCTAAATAAATAATTGTTCATTATATATTATTATTATTATTAAAAATGCAATATACACACATACTCACCTAATATACACTTCATTCCTCTGCTATAAAATTATGTCACTATTTCATTTATTTTTATTTGTTAAACTTATACCTAATTAATTTATAGTAAGTAATTTTATTTATCCAAAATTTTGTTATTCATGTATAACAAATAATAACTAATTTGTCACTATTTTTCTACTTATACCATCATTTTATTTTTTTACGGTATCTTTAATAATTTTTTTTTTATAATATCATATTTCACTTTTTAACTATCCCACTTTAACAGTCAAACCCTTGTAGATCAAGCGGTGAGACATCCCTCATTTGAAGTATGAGTGTGTGCGATGAGGTATATATTTTGTTTAATAAAACATGTTAATATTATTTTGTAAAAAAAATACCCCCTTCGTACATATTTAATGTATCAATTTTGTCGTTTTAGTTTTATCAATTTACAATCTATCATTTTTATTATTTTTTTTATATAATTGTAATTCTCACTTAAATAAAAAAGTAAACTTACATTTTCTATAATATTAAAAAAAATGCTATTAAATTATTGAATTTAAGAATAAAAATTGTTATTTTGTCCCTTAATTATAATATTCCCTATGAAATATTCATATTCTACCATTTACGTAAAATAATAATAATAACGATAAGGAAGAAAATTAATTTTGGCTTTAATATAATAAAAATTTATTAATTTTGGTCCCAATATAAAAAACTCATCAATTTTAGTCTCATTATAAACAATTTCAATCATTTTTGATCCTATAGTTTTGTCAACTTCAGCAATTTCCGTTAATTTTTTAACGGTGGAACCAAAATTGATTGAAATTGTTTATAATAACACTAAAATTGAAGAATTTTTTATATTGTGATCAAAATAATAAATTTTTGGTCTCACCGTTTTGTCCACGTCAGTAATTTTCGTTAATTTTTTAACGGTGGGACCAAAATTGATTGAAATTGTTTATAATAAGACTAAAATTGATGATTTTTTTATATTAAGATTAAAATTGATTTTTTTTTGTTATATAGATACCAAAATTAATTTTTTCCTTAATAATAATAATAATAATAAAATAAAGACTAATTTATATACTCCCTCCGTCCTAAAAGTAAGTATCCATTTGTTTTTTGCACGTAATTTTAGAAATATTAGTATTATATTGGGATATAGTAGAAATAAAGTAGAAATGACTAAAATAACCTTATTAGTGTGTGTGATACAAAGGTAATGACATTTGTGTAATATATTGTAAGTTGTAAGGTATTTGTAATGTTAAGTAGATAATACAGTTACTAAAAAAGGATATGAATACTTTGTTATGGAACAGACTAAAATAAAAAAATAAGATACTTTGTTATAGGACGGAAAAAGTATTTATTTATTTATTTTTTTTAAAAGGCCTATAAGTGTATTAATTATGGCCCTTCACCATTAACTTCCGGCGGTACTATCATATCCGTAACCCATCAATTCGGTCACATAATTTATTTCTTATACCCACATTTAAGTTAAAAATAAAGCAAAAACAGTTGATTCTCAATTAATGCTATTAAATAAGTTTATAATCTAAATCTACTAATAATTCTGAATTGGTTCCTTTTGACAAAATATTGTCTCAATTATTATTTATAATCGAGTATTAAAAAATTAAATTAATTATTTTAATAATATTTTTTCAATTTTCAAAAGTAAACATAAAAATCCAAAAAACACTAGTGTTTGGAAAATTTTTTGCTTGTTAATTATTAGAATATTGGGGTGTGCTTGGTACAAATAATTAAGAATAGAGAAATTGTTTGTTTTGGCCAGAAAATTGGAACTTAAAAAATAAATTGTTTTAATTTTTTTATTTCTATTTTTCTGTATATTTATTTTTAATTATTTTTTTTTGTGTATTATTTGATTTTTTAAATTTTTAAAAAAATATATTATTTCAATTTTACAAAATATTACATTTAATTTATTATTCAAGTATTTAATTTTATTTTTTTTAAAAAAAAATACAGCAAAATCTAAACTTACAAAATTATAGTATCTATTTATTATTTAAAAAAAATCACAATATATATATATATATTTATGGATTCTCACGGTTAAAACTATCTTGAGAATTTATTCTTGATCTCTCCATACAAATATGTATTTTTTACACTTTCTAATTACATTCTCTATTTTACCAAACAAAAAGAATTAATTATCGATTTTTATTTTATCTACAATTTCATTTCATATTCTTATTTTTCTTTAATTATATTCTCTGTCACTATTTTATATTTCCTCCGTTCCCGGTTACCGTGTTCCTTTTACTGTAGACATAAGAATGTACAAGAGATATAATTAATAAATAATTAAAAATATATTAATAAATAATTAAAATGTATAATTGTTTCTAAAAAAAAGAAAGTTACATAGTAAATGAGACAGACAAAAATTGATATTGTAAATATGATGGAAGAAGTACAACATATAATAATTTTCGCAATCAGTACAGGTAAAACAGACCGATAATATATATTTTTATGTGTTTTATGAAATAAAATATATTTTGTTTAAACGCGTGATATATACAAATATTTCATATATTGAAATTAATTATTACTTGTGATATATGTGACAATATCATATATTTTATTTATATTATTAATATAATATAAATATATATCATCGGCATTATGCCCATTTTTAAAATTCAGCAAAGTAATTGCCTCAACTCGTGTATATGTAGAATGTGAGGTCACAACAAGAAATGAATGTCCAAGCTATTCATTACGTGCTCTAGGAAGAAATCGAAGCATTTTCTAGGAATAAGACAGATTAGTGTATTTTTTTTTATGACGTAAAAATTTACAGTATAATTACTCTGTAAATATATTTTGAATAAATTTTAATTAAATTTAATAATTTATAAATTAGATTCACAAAAGCAAATCACCCTAAATAAAAAATACAATATATTTTATTGTATTAATATAAACGATGTTATTAATTATTTATAAGAAAAATACTAAATGTAAAAATAAGTAGAATAAATTGATAAATCTTGTAAATGAGATATTTATGGGAAAATAATAAAATAAAATCTCGTCTTCCTCGTTGGTGGCAATTTTGTAATTGTGTAAAACCAGAAGGTCAATTCCAATTCAAGTCGAGTATTTAGTTGTGTTCCTCCGACCGGACCACCAATCCCTTTCTCTGTAACGAAGAACGGCACTTCCTCTTCGATTTTCCAATTCCTCCTGCTGCAATGGAAGACGACAAATCCTTCTCTGAATCAGTCAACCACGTCGACGACAGCAGCCATGGATGGCAGAAGGTAACCTACGCCAAGAAGCAGAGGAAGAATCAGAATAAGAAGCCTCCGGCGGATTCCTCGAGGCCTTTACCCGGCGGATCCGGACCCTTACCGGACAATAACGGCGTTTTCAAAGGATTGGAGAAGCACGCGGAGGAGCGCCGCCGGAAATTGGAGGCGCAGCGCGTCGCCGTTGTTTACGCCGACGATGACGCGATTCCAGTGAGATCGAGGAAGAATCGCGGAGAGGATGTGGACAGCGATGACGAGAGCACCGATGGAGATGTTAAAACTAATGCGGTGGATGTGAATAAGACGGAGAAGCCGAAGAAGGTTAAGAAGCCTAAGATTACCGTTTCGGAGGCTGCCGCCAAGATTGACGTTGACAATCTCGCCGCTTTTCTTTCTAGTATTACGGTATTTTCACTTTTCTCGGATCTGATTCTCGTTCTTGTTGATGAAACGTGGAAGATTTTATCGGAATTTCATTTTTTGGTAGTTGGATTCGTACGAAGGGCAGCAAGATATACAGTTGATGAGGTTTGCCGATTATTTTGGCCGTGCCTTTTCTGCCGTGAGCGCTTCGCAATTCCCATGGCTCAAGTTGTTCAGGGAGTCCCCTGTCGCCAAAATTTCCGATGTGAGCACTTCAATATTTATATAGATCAGTTTGAGTTTTAAGCTTTGTTGCAACTTACAGTTAGATCGGTTTAGTTCTCTTGTGAACAATGCTGTTATTGGAAGTGATTGATTTGCAATGTTAAATTTAGGTGCTTTGACCGATGATGGCTTTGTTCCTGGTGATCGTATGCTATTAAATTTACCAAATCAATGGTCGTGTTTAACATGTATATCAGTTTGTGGTGGTCTCAGTAACTGCTAGCTTAATTTTCATACATTTTAGCGCATCTTGACTTGCATTTGTATTTAAAAGTGCCTATACAGCGCTGAAAGGATCATTTGCTATATAATCAATTTTTTCATGGTCCAAGTCTATTGGCTTGATCGAGGTTTCAAATAAGAATTTACTAATGTAACTAGTTCATGTGCTGAAGGTTTCATACCTTTGCACACCTAGAGCTTGTTTAATAGCTACTCATTATGAATCACTGTAATGATGCTATTATTACTCAATAAGGCTTAAAGATTATTTCAGGTTGATGAGGAATCTGTGGTTTGATTATATAGTTTCTGATTTGATCTCCAATTGGAGTGTATGCCCAACATTTCAATGTGGGGTCTATGGTCTATTTCTGCATCTCATTTGTGTGAGGTTTGGGTTGGTTTTTTTTTTAATGATATATTTAAGATTATTTGAAACATTATAAAATTGAATTTAGATGCTCTATCAATTTTTATTTACATCAGCTATTTAGATGGTCCATTACTATCATGGCCATGCTTTGGTTTAGGCTTTCGGTGGCACTGTTACATGCCAAGGATGCCAAAAATAGTTTGTAGGGGTAGAGCATTTTCCTTGTTTGGTTTGACCAGTTCGCCCTTGGGCCATGACAAAGTTAGTGTGATGTTTAGGCTATTTGAAGAGCTTATGTTCCATATTGGTTATGGTGCCCTACTTTACTATTGATTGGAAAGAAATGTGAAACTACACAACAAACATATTCGCTGAATCAAGACATTGTTATTTGATCGTTAGCAATCATGCATCATTGTTACCTCTCATATCTTCATTGGCCTTGCTATGGATGTGGAAGATCTTCTGTTAATTGGTTTGTTTCTTGCTCAGGTCCCTGTTTCTTATATCTCTGAAACTGTTTACAAGACATCAGTGGACTGGATTAACCAGCGCTCCAATGAAGCATTGGTAACCTTTGTGATCTGGTCATTGGATGGCATTCTTGCTGACTTGGCTACCCAACTGTCGGGGTCCAAGGGTTCAAAGAAAGGAGGGCAGCCAACAACTTCAAAGTCTCAGGTATGTGATGTTCTTCATGCCTTTCTCATCTAAATAATTCTCTTTGTTTTAAATTTCCTGTTTCTTTCTTCCAAGCCTTAAACCTCTGGTAAGAAACACCAACTTCACTTTTTTATGTCTCATTTAGAACAATTTGGGTCAAACATGACCCATTCATTACAAAGAGGGACTGGGGGGAAGGAGGACTATATTCTAGTAGTAACTGAAGTTTCTCCTTGTTATCCTGTACCTAGAGACTCCTTTTGCATTTTCTTATGTGCCTTTTTCCAGCACATTTAATTTATTAGTATTACTAATTTATTAGTTGTTTGACTCCTTGCTGTCTCTAAGGTGCAATCCTTGATCTTTGCATTCCAATGCTTTTCTTCAGTAAGATGCACCTGTGGCGGCCACCCTGCCATTTGCCAGTCTTATGCTATACAAATTTTTTTTTTTTTGGTTAATGAAGAAACTAGTAATAAAAGCTTGACTTGTTTGCTTTCCTGTGGCATTTTAATCAATTTCTCACACATGCCAGTAACTTCCACTTCCCCTCTACAGTTCTCTAAACTGAGATCGGTGCATAGCTCCTTTCACTGGCTTTTTTATTTTGTCCACCATAAATGGTACCTTGAGAATTAAAACAGCACTTTTATTCATGCCATTTGTCACAGGAATTAAGAGTAGTTCATGAATGAGCTTTTCTTGTAGGTGTTTTTGTTGTTAAGAGCCGAGACACTTTCTATGATAATTTTGACTGTATTGTCATGATACCTTTAGGGATCTGTGAAGGGAAGGATTCTGGGGGATACAGTTTGTCTCTTTCTCCGTGGTTCTTCCTTAATAGATAAAAGGCTGAAGCATATAAACTGAAATATGTTGCTTGGATTTTCAGGAAAATAAATAAATAAAAATTAAATCCTCAAGTTATATTATTTTGCCACTCCTAATATACTTTGTATGACTTTGTACACCATGCTATCTACTTTGATATAATTTCTATCAAATTAACCACTTATATTTCATACTTGCTAATTCTTGTTTCCACAGGTTGCAATTTTCCTAGTGTTAGCTATGGTATTACGCAGGAAGCCCGATGTGCTGATTAATGTATTCCCAAAATTGGACAATAATCAAAAGTATCAAGGCCAAGATAAGCTTCCGGTTATCGTATGGATGGTAGTTCAAGTGAGTAACAATCGTATTTATCGTGGAGCATTGTGCTATCTGGGAATGCCTTATTTCTTTTTCTTTTTTCGAATATATTTTGAGTATTAATTTCCCATCTTAACCCGAGGCTTGTTGTGTAGGCATGTCATGGAGACTTAGCCGTAGGGTTGTTATTATGGGCGCATCATATTCTGCCAATTCTAAGAGGAAAATCTGGATCAAACCCCCAGTCTAGGGACATGGTCTTGCAGTTAGCTGAAAGGTTTGAAATATTGTTCTCTCTTCAACCAGTTAACAGCTGTTTATATCTCACACACCTCGATGATTATGAAGTGATATTCTTTGCTTTCCATTTATTAGAATTGTGGGTGTACCAAAAGCTCGGGGCATATTAGTAAGTAATGCTGTCAGGAAGGGCGAGCGCCTAATCCCACCTCCTGCACTTGACTTACTACTGCATTTTACATTCCCTCCATCTTCTGGACGGGTTAAGGTAGTGTACACCAACATACTAGCTTTGTTTTAAACAAATTTATCGGGTATGTTGCTGAGTTATGAATTTCTACTGTAACAACTTTAATAAGGAATGTGAACTGTGTGCAAACAGGCCACCGAAAGATTCGAGGCTATATACCCACTTCTTAAAGAGGTCGCTCTTGCTGGCTCTGTTGGAAGCAAAGCAATGAAGCAAATCTCATTGCAGATACAGACTATAGCTGTGAAATCAGCAGGAGAAGGTACTGTTAAACTGCTTCTCATACATTTACTTCAAAAGCTACTATGATGAATTTACGGCATTTCTAAAAACGATGTCCTGCAGGTATTCCGGCACTATCTGACGAAGCAACTGGCATCTTCATTTGGTGCTTGACTCAGAATCCTGAATGCTTCAAGCAGTGGGTAAGCCATGAATTAAAAAAAAACATACCCAAATTAGTTTCAAATCTCCTGGTGGCTTTCCTTAGTAGATTCATTTGAAAGCCACGACTGATTGGGAAGTGATTTGTGTTTGATCGATCTTTAATTAATATGTTTGTTTCGACAGGACAAAATATACACTGATAATATACAAGCTAGTGCTTCGATACTGAGGAAGCTTTCCGATAACTGGAAGGAGCTTTCTCCAAAACTATCTTCACTTCAATCTCTCAGCGAAGCTCTCAAGAGCTTCAGGCAAAAGGTTCGTCAATATTTGCTCCACTTTTCAAGCATAATATTCCAATCCCAGCCCAACTCATTAAATTTCAAAAATCTTCCCGACTTACAGAACGACAAGGCATTAAGCGATGAAACTGATTCAGCTCACCAGTCTCAGTTCAAGGAAGCAGACAAATACTGCAAGGCTCTGCTGGGCAGACTTTCCAGCAGCCACAGTTGCCTGAAAACCATAATCTTTGTTCTTGCCATGGTCGCTGTCGGAGCTGCCATCGTGCCCTCCAACCTCGACTCATTGGATTTGAACAAGGTGTCGGCATGGTTCAACTCCCTGCAATCCGTCTAAAACAACTCTGACAGAGCCAGGGTTAGCGCAAGCTAGGTAATCTCGATCTCCTCCCTTCCTCCGACTCGAGCTAGTTTTTTGTGCGACACAGTCCTCCCGGTAACCTTACAATATATACATTATACATAAAGTATGTGGGGGTGTAGTAGAGCATGAGGATTTGGATTATTAATGGTAGGGGTATGGTATGGAGGTGATTTAATTTATCTAGTTGTGTTGTTTTCTCATTTCAGGCACCCCTTTTTGGGGTAAAAGATTTTCTTAATTCCCGTCGGTCGGTTTAAGACATCACTGAACTCTCTCGTTTGCGAAATGAGTTATTGATAGAGGAGAGATTGAGAGTGTTTTTATATTTATTATACATACTTATATACTTACATGTTTATTTTGTTTGGGGTACACACACACATTGGATTTTGTTGCTATTCATCTACCAAACTTGCCATCCATACTTTTTTGTTTTTATTTTTTGCTTGTTTTATTTGGTTAAATAGTTATTTTGGTCTGAATATGATGTGCTTATTAGTTGGCTCTTTCGACCCTGCACCAGGAAGTCATATCTGTATTTTGCAGTTTAAGTACCCATACTAACAGTCTAATCGATCAGATGTAAAAAGGTTTTAGATGAAGTTCATCGTCAAGGGTTTTTTAATTTTAGGGATGAATTTAAACCTCTCTGGCGGTTTTCTTCCCCTTCCCCTTGCCCGACAATGATGGTGTTGTTTTCGTCAAAATCCCTCGAATCCGTAAATGCCACAATCGTCTCATTGCTGGAGAAATTTGCATTTAAATCGAACCAAGATAAAATAAATTGTACCGGATGGATAAAAATAAAAAATATGAACCAATTATATAAAATGAAAAAATATATAATATAATTATATTGTTTTAAAAATATATATAATAAAAAAATGGACAAATTTTATGGAAAAAAAAGCAAACAAATATAAGCTGCTGTTGCTTAGTCTAGAGGTTGATTCGATTTACATTGTCGAGGCTACAAATGCGGCTTCGATGTCATAAAAAATTAATAATAATAATTCAAAGAAAATAATATGCTTTCAATATTATTATTATTATTATTAAGTAGTAGCAGTTTGTTTATGTGCCGCCAAAAAGGCAACCAAGCAAAATCCATCAAAACTCCCTTTTTCCCCTTCCAAATTACACAAATTCACAGTTTCTACATTCATTCATTCATTCACACCACCAGACCGCGGCGATCCAATGGCGGCGCTTCACTCCTGGAGGAAAGCATACGGCGCTCTCAAAGACCATACCAAGGTCGGCCTTGCGCACGTCAATTCCGGTTATAAGGTCGTCTCTCTCTCTCTGCTCAATCGCCAATTTATTGTTTCCAATGCGCGTTGTGTGTGTTCAGGAGGGATTTTTACGTAGGGTTTTGGTTTCTCGTCCAATGTGGGTGGAATTGCGTGCTTGATTGCTTAAAATTCAGCGATGATCAAGAAATGGAGAGATTGATTTTTGTGCGATGTAATCGAGATGTTCTGGTTTTCGATTTTTTTGATTTTGTGCTGTGTTAATGAACGTAGGATTTGGATGTGGCGATCGTTAAGGCTACGAATCACGTGGAGTGCCCGCCCAAGGATAGACATCTCAAGAGTGAGATTTTTCATTCTTCGCCATCGATTCGGAAACCATTCTGACGCTGTTTATTCTTCGATTAAGAATTTTGTTGTCTCGTGAACCTTTGAAGTTAGAGCAAGAACAAATTGATGTTAGGTTTCAGACCGTTTCTAATTCTGTGAAATCTCAATTTTCCGAACTGAATTGGATCGAAAATGGCTGCACATTGTGTTTTAGTTTAGGAAATTATACCCACAATTGTCATGCGAACTCCATATAGATAAAAGTTCTGGAAAATTTGATAATATTACAAAGTTAATATTTGCAATGATGTTTTGTGAATAAGAAAACTATTATCGATTTGATATTCTTCTAAAAAATTGAAGTTGATGCATAGTGCCACAAGTTTTAAAAGTATTTATACAATCATTACCGATGTTTCTTGCAGAAATTATGATAGCAACAGCAGCAGCTCGGCCACGGGCTGACGTTGCATACTGCATAAATGCCCTTTCGAAACGATTGTTGAAGACACATAACTGGACGGTATGGATACTTCAATGCACTCGCCATTTAGATCGTGTTTCTTTAATGTTTATAGTTTTAAGTGTTTTTGTTACGATATATTCAAAATTACGGAAGTATTATATGGAATGATGTTTTGTAAGTTTCTGTTAATTTTTGTCGTTTGCATTGTTGGATTAGGCCGGGTCTGTTTTGGGAACTTAGTAGTAAATATTTTTCACCGCCTTGTTATGATAATTGGTTGCTTTTACGCCATTCGATCTGTGAATTTACTGTGGTTTTACAGGTTGCGTTGAAGACACTAATCGTTTTCCATAGACTTTTGAGAGAAGGCGATTCGAAATTTAGGGACACATTGTTAGGATTTCAGCAGAGAGGGCGCGTCCTCCATGTTTCTAGCTTCAAGGATGATTCGAGTCCAGTCGGTAAGCATCTCATCTTATATTATACGTTAATTTTATTGCGCCGTATAAGGATGTATGAACAATTTACATAATGATTGTCTTGCTGCTGCTCCAGCTTGGGATTGTTCTGCTTGGGTGCGAACTTACGCGCTCTTCTTGGAACAACGATTAGAATGCTTTAGCATTCTTAAGTATGACATTGAAGCTGAGCGTCTTCGCGGACATGGACAAGGCCAAGATAAGGTCTACTTCTCCTTCATAAGTTCTGTGTCAATTTTGCGCTATGATTGCTTAAATTCGCTTCGGTTTTTACCTTTGGAGCCTGCAATTACAGCGTCACTTAAGATCTAGAGATCTGGATAACGAAGAATTATTAGAACAGTTGCCTGCGTTGCAGCAGTTGCTACATCGTCTGATTGGATGCCGGGTAATCATCCCTGTGTTATGTTCGAAACTTTAGATTTTTCTTAAGAGGTATTTGCAGCTAACCAGTCTTTGATTCACAGCCTGAAGGTGCAGCTGCTTGCAATTCTCTAGTTCAATATGCTCTTGCCTTGGTATGTCCTTCTTCTTCGTCTCTTCATCCTTCGAATCGCCAAATCTCACAGAATCGCAATTTGTTGATTCTGAATATTAGTTTTGATCTGTAGGTGCTGAAAGAGAGTTTTAAGATATATATGACTATCAATGCCAGCATAATCAATCTTGTCGACAAGGTAAAATGGCGAAGAATTCGTGTTAATTTTCTTAGTTCATGAAACCTGCATTCGCTTAGTGAAATGACGTCTTCCCCGGTTTTGTTCACAGTTTTTTGACATGCCGAGGCTAGAAGCCATTCAAGCGCTCGATATCTACAAACGAGCCACACAACAGGTGCTGTAATGTTTCTTCGATTTCATGATTCTCAAGTTGTAATATGGTATGGATGTGTTCTCGTTGCAGGCTACGAATCTTACAGATTTCTACGACGCCTGCAAAGGAGCCGAGCTTGCTCGAAATTTCCAGTTCCCCGTTTTGAGAGAGGTTAGATATATTGATTTGTTTTTACAATATATTCGACTTTTGACTCGATTACCAATTCCGGTGATCTTGATCTGTTTTTTTCGATGCTTTACGGTCTTGACAGCCGCCGCAATCCTTCATAATCACCATGGAAGACCACATCAGAGAAGCTCCGCGGGAGGTTTCTGTTCCGACCATTCACTTGGTAAGAAGTAATCAGACATTCTACCGATTAGTTTGAAAGTTCCGATTTTTTATCCTATCTCTGCATCAACTGCATCAGGAGTATCCTGAAAGATTGATGTTGACATACAAGCAAGAAGACAATGTTCCTTCGTCGTCTGAAGAGTCTCCGAAGGCCGAATCACCTCCACGTCAAGTCGACGTGGATGATCTGCTCGTGAGTTTCTTGACGCACTTCTACTTTTACAGCAATCGAAGTCGATTTTAATCTTGACTCCGTTTCAGGGCTTGAATTCAGTCGAAGAAATCACGACTTCGATCGACGACACGAATGCTTCGGCTTTCGCCATAGTTCCATGCGGTGACCACTCCCCGTTCACCGAAAATTGCGGTGCGACGGCGGCGATCGACATCAACCCCGTCGGGTGGGAGCTCGCCCTCGTCTCGACCACCGACTTATCGTCATCGCAGGAGAAGCAATTAGTAAGTTCTTATGCGTATAATTTCACGTAAAAATTTAAACTTTGGACGGGATCGCATGATTTTCGATCGAAATGCAGGCGGGAGGGTTGGATTCGCTGAAGCTGAATAGCTTATACGACGAAGGGGCGTCGCAGGAGGCGTTATCCGGCAGCCATTTTCCGTCTGCTACAAATCCATTTTCGATCGACAGCACGCCGAATAGTGATCGTAATACTCTCCCGGTGGCGCCGCAGCCTTGTTCGAGCAACCCGTTCTATTCGTTCCGGCAGGATTGGGTGATGAATCCGCAGAATCCTTTCCTATTGGAGACAGGGTTCCATGCATTTCCGGCGGCGGCGGCGGAGGAAGCTCAGACAAGCAACCCGTTTGGCAGTAGCAGAATGTAAGTTAGTATGTTAGGATTTAGGGGTTCCTTTGAGTAGAGTGAAGCTCATTTGTTGGAATTGTGTAAACAGAACTGAACAAATATTATTCACAATGTAATAATTGTCGATCTTCATCACCATCACCATCTCCACTCTCTCTCACTTTTTTTTGATTGTCTGATCTCGTGGGCCTTGTCTTATTGGACTTACTTTGTAAAATATTAGGTTGGATCGAAGATTCCACAACAGTTCTTGCGTTATAAAATAAAAAATAAAAAAATAAAAAAAGATATGAATAAAGTACAATTTATAATTGGTATCGATACAATATATAATTATGGACAGTTGCGTACTTTAATTTAACACGATATATGTCTTATATAGTAAAAAAATAATACAATTATATACTTTAATTTAACACAGCACAAGATACTTACTGTATCTCTCTTATACCGATCAATCATTATTTTCCATATGTATTTTCTTAAAATAATTAATAAGATAAAATATTTAAATATACATTGCGGTTGGTAATTGGTTGATATAGAAGAGACACAATACATTACGGGTAGGGTAATTAAATCCATAACAATATAATACTTTATATGTCCGCCTCTAGAGTTAGATTTATCTTTTGTATCGTTGTACTTAATATTAAAAATATCTTTATATTTGTATAAATTTTTTTTTTTTTTTGTATAAATGTCATTCTAGTATTACAAGATATTAGAATATACGACACTAATTGAAGTATTTTTATCATTTTTTTTATTTATACTATGTTTTAATATAATAATTAATACTTAAAGATCAACACGCAAAAAAGAATTATAGCCTTAGAACGGGATGATAGTAATATTACATTCGAACTAAAGTATTATTCAAATCTAAAATTAAAATAGAAAAACAAAACCAGACTCCATAATTATTTTCATAAACTCACTTATTAAAGTATACTCCATCCGTCCAAACAATAAGTATATATTTACTTTTTGTACGAAGTTTAAAAAATAATAGTATTTTAATTATAATGGATAGGTAAAAATAGTGTAATGACATTTTTTTCTCTTACTTTTTTGGTATAAAAATAGTGATATGATGTAAAATAAGAGTATTTGTGGAAAAAAAAATAAGGTATTTAATGAAATGATTACTCTGTAATTGGACATTTCAAAATATAGATAACTATACTTTGTAGCTGGACTGGGGGAGTATATATTTATAAAAGAAATTAAGTACTAGTACTACAAAACAATGGGATAGGCTTTTCAGGAAGAAATGTCTCATCTTTAGCGATCAACACAATATTTTCACTTTTACGTAGATTCTTATTACTAATATTTATTTTTAGCGATTTTATTTGTAGATAAAGTAACAGCTTAAAGTAATATTGTAGTACTATATAAAAAAACAATAATAATAATAATAATATTATAATATTTTAAAAATAAAATTAATACTTATTATTACTTCAGTTCAATAATTTAGAATAAATATAATTATTTTATAATTAAAAATATATCAATCAAAATAATTATAAATTAAAATCAAAATATTTTAATTTAAATTTTAGAAATTAAATTTATTCATGGTTAAAAAACTTTATACTCCCTCGTCTCATTGAAAGGTTACCATTTTCTAGTCCGTCCCAAAACAAGGTTATCATTTTCTAATTTAGTAATTGTACTATCTACTTCACGTAATAAATAACCTCTCAACTTACAATATATTACACAAATGTCGTTACTTTTATATTACACCATACTAATAGGAGTATTTTTTTTTTGTCTTTTTTACTACAATTCAATATAATACTAATATTAAAAAATCTACGTGTAAAAAGCAAACGTCACCCTTGTTGCGGGACGGAGAGAGTATATAGTTATGGAACTAGTCTCCGAATTTTGGAAGGCAAAATATGAGTTTAATTTTATTAATTTAATGTCTTTTTTTTTTTCTTTGGTGTAACAGTGTAAAAAAAAAACAGTTGAACAAAATAATACTCTCCTCGTCTCTGGTACGGTGTCCCTTTTTACTGTAAACACTAGAACTTACGAAGGATATCATTAGTAAATAATTAAGAATGTATTAGTGAAAATAATTATCGTATAATAAAAATAATTTTGAATTAAAATAAATAATTAGTCTAATTAAAATTTAAAATAATTTTCAAGTGTATAATTTTTTTTCCAAAATAAATGAGTGACAGAATAAGTGGGACCGACGTAAATAGAAAAGTGAACACTGCAAATGAGACGGATGAAGTATATGTTTGAAATGAAAAAAAATTGACATAATTATATAAATATGATTATTTTTTATTAAAAAATTAAATACTAAAGGACAAATCAATAAAGTTATATATTTTCTTTGTCCCATTTAAATTGCTCATTTTAGGTTATGCACTGAAGTTTAGATATTGGATAATTAGTAAATATTTAAAAAGTATATTTGCAAAAATTTAATAAAAATAATTATATATTAAGATTAATATAACTAAATAATTTAATTAAAATATAAAATTATAAATTTTGAAATATAATTAAAATGTATAATTATATTTTTAAAAACTAAAAGAACAAACTCCGTAGGACAGATAAAAAAACAAAAGTGAACAAATTAAGTTGAATGAAGGAGCTATATTTTATTATTTTGTACATGAAATTAAAAATAAAAATAAAATTCAGAGGAAGGGGGGAAAATATTTAAAATTTATTATATTTAAACTAAAAAATATATATTTTGGGAGTTGGGGTTCAAGTGCCCCTGTTTTTCTTTAGTCAATTTTTTTTCAAATTTTACTATTTGACTCTGTGTTCTCTAGAAAAAAATATATTTTTTCATCTCACAAAACATTCCATCAAATATTATTTTTATATCAAATTCAAATTATTTTTTTTCCAAACTCATCAAAAAAACACACCTTAAACATAAAATTTTAGTATTCTTAAAACATTTATTTTATTTGTTATTTAAATCTATGTTCATTTTTTTTTTAGTTGAAAATCGAAAAATATTCTCATTTTTTTTAAAAATAAAAAATCATTACAAGTTTGTACTTTTTTTTACTATAATAAAATAAGTAACAATTATTATTTACTTTTATTAAAATTTGTGTTCAGTCAAATGAGCACATATCTGGACGGCGGAAGGAGTAATAATTTTTCCACAATAATTAAACCATACTTTGTTTTTCACTTTGAATGATTTTTTCTTTACACTTCATCTTATTTTTTTGTCAATTTTTTTTTTAATATTAAAATATTATTAATTTCTAGTTTATGTATCCAACCAAAAGTTGATGATCTAGATGGAAGAATATCATAATTTTTTAAATAAATAAAAGAAATAGATTGTTAGCAACATGTATCCTATTTTATAGGTGTATTGTGTAAATATATTTTTTATAAGTTAAAATTAGTTATAATACTCCCTCCGTCCCATATAATTTGTCCTTATTTTTTATTTTCGTCCGTCCCACATAACTTGTCCTTTCTATTTTTGGAAATATAATTATGCACTTTAATCGCATTTTAAATTTTAAATTTTATAATTTTTTTAATTTTAATTAAAATATTTACTTATCTTAATCTTAATCTATAATTATTTTTACTAAATAATAATTATTTTTACTAATACACTTCTTAATAACTTACTAATTATACTTTACCTAAATTCCTGTGTCTACAGTAATCGCCAATATTATTCGGGACGGAGGGAGTAATATATTGTATATGTGTATATATGTATGTATATTATTTCAACATATTTTATGTACTAATGAAAGAATTGTAGGTAAGTGGTTGAGGAATTTTCTTCATGTTTTAAATGAATGGGATTCTATCTCCATTGTAATATTTTTATTTCAAACTTTTTTGTCATGTTTTCTAAATAAATAAATATTAATCTAAAATCTCTTATTCTTTATAAATTATTTTATATTAATCATATATAAATATTATGTCAAATATAGTATAACGTTTTGAGATGAATTGGGTGTGTTTGTTCGAAGGTTTGGATTTTGAGTTGAGATTTGAATAGTAAAAATTTTGAATTTGAATAGTTGTATGATGTGATATAAATAGATGTTGATGTTATGTTTTGAATGTAAAATTAATTTTTAGTATAATATAAAAAATGAAAAATAGGTGTTTGATTTGATGTTGAGGGGGGAGGGAAATGGGATATAGTGGAAATCTAATTCAATCCCCCAAACAAACACACCCCAAATAGAAAAATGAACATTTTTTATGAAACATTTTTTCTTTTATTATCTAAATTATAGATATAAAAATTTAGAGAAAGTATAATTAACAAGTGATTAAAAAGTATAATAGTAAAAATAGTTATTATATAATAAAATTAATTATAGATTAACATTAAAATAACTAAATAGTTTCATTAAGATTAAAAAAACATACTCCCTCCGTCATTCAACTCTATACTCACTTTCCTTTTTGAGTTGTTATCGAAAAATATTTTCATTTCTTTTTTAAGTAAAAAATTATTTCATTATTGTATTGTTTTTAACTATAAAAGGAAAAATTAATAATTATTACTCATTTTTATTAAAACTCGTGTCCGATAAAATGAATACAAGACGGATGGAGTATAAATTATGAAATTTATAATACGATTAAAATGTATAATTATATTTTAAAAAAATTATGTGAAACTAACGAAAATAGAAAAAAAAAATAGACATTTAATGTGGGGCGGAGAGAATATAAAATTGTATTTCTTATAAATAATACTCCCTCTATCTCAGCTAATTTGTCTACCTTTGCTGGTACGGAGTTTTAGGTATCATGTAATTAGTAAATAATCAAGAAGTGTATTAATAAAAATATTATGATTTAATAAATAATTATAGATTAATATTGTAATACTCCGTAGTTAGTTAGGCCGATGCTAGGCCAAGTCCCTTGGATGAGCTGGTGTCGGGCCATTCGGTTAAATATACGTTAAATGGATTAAATAGACTACTCATGTCAACAATGTGCACATTTTTTTTTTTTCGAAAACTATACTGGGAGTTAAGCTAGAATAATTTGAGCATGAATGACTTGAATGTCTATCAGGGTGTGCGTAAGTGAGGACAAACCGCGCTGGAATGACTCGTGTTGATCCGTGGGATCGATCTGTAATCCCGATACGTCCGATTTTGCGTTGCTTGCGGACTGAAGTGTCCCAAAAATTAAAATAACTAAATAATTTACTTAAAAAATTTAAACTATTAATTTTAATATGCAATTAAAATAAATATTTATTTTTGATGCAATATTTAAAAAATAATAATATTTTAATTATAATATATAATTAAAAGTAATATAATAATATTTTTATTTTTATTTTTTTATGTAAAAATAATGATATAATATAAAATAAAAATATTAATAAAAAAATATAATATTTAATAAAATATTTATTTAGTAACAAAGACGTTTTAAAATATAAATATGTATATCTTTTAATTGATCAAATTAAATATAAAAGTACAAAGAAGACGAGAGGCAGCGACAGATATGATGAGGGGTAGTGGGGACCACAGTGCTTTTGGAATGTGGGCCCCACGTTCGGGTTTTGGGGGCAAAGCAAAAGCTCTGTTTGTTTTTGGATCCAAAGTTGACAACAACACCCACGCCCATATCTTCTTTGCCAACCTTGCCTTGCCACTATAAACTATTATTATTTTAATAATAAATAAAATAAAATAATATAGATATTCTACATTTTGTCACACAATAATAATAATAATATAAAATCCAGCAATTGTGAAACCCACCCTCTCTACATTTTATTAATCGAAAGAATAACGGTAAGAGTAATACTCCTATTACAGTACGGGAGGGTATTCTCGTCCTTTCATATGCAATTGTGGGGATTAAGGAAAAATTGATGTTCTTATTAAAAAGTTAAACCTAGTCAGTCATACAGTCAATAACCTCTCTCTCTCTCTCTTACGCTCTCTGCTGGTTTGCTTTGCACACAATTCTTGAATTCGTCGCTCGCCTCGCTCCCACTGTTCTTCTTTCCCAAACCTCCAAAGTCGTCTTCTCTGCTGTACCAACGCCGCCCATTTTCCCAATTTCGGTTTCATATTTTGTTTGTTTGATTCGATTTGATTTGATTTGGTTGTTAATCGGCTGCGGGAGGAAGAAATCAGGCATGGCTGCGAACCGTTTCGCAACCATGGTGCATCGGAATTCCAACAAGATCACGCTGATTTTGATATACGCGGTTCTGGAATGGATTCTGATAGTCCTCCTACTGTTGAATTCCCTGTTTTCGTATCTGATCCTGAAGTTCGCGGAGTATTTCGGGCTGAAACCGCCGTGTCCTTGGTGCACTCGAATTGATCACGTTATTAATCCGTCGAGGAAGGAGGAAAACTCGCAGAGGGATAATCTGTGTGAGGTCCATGCCAGGGAGGTTTCAGAATTAGGGTTTTGTGCGAATCATCGGAAATTGGTTGATTCTCGTCTTATGTGCGACGATTGTTCGTCCTCGAGGACGGAGCTTCTGCAATCTTCGAAGGATTTTGGTCCCCTTAAGCGATTGGGAGCGGTGAGTGAGAATGGCGGTGAGGTAAATTTCAACTGTTCTTGCTGTGGAGTTGCTTTGAGTAATAACTATAATCGCAAATACTCTTCCTACTCGTTGGTTAGAACATCTTCTTACGATGCGTTGGATAAAGGAAATTTAATTGATTATGATGATAGTGATAATGTTGTTGTTGATGATTGTAATCATGTTGCGAAAGGATTTGATTCTGGTGTAGATTTGCTTAGTGATGAGTCTTTGTTTGGAGTTAAGAATAATGAATTCGGATTCGATGTAAATTCGGGGATAATCGGAGGGAAATCGAAGGGGAATGGAAATGTAGAGATGGTTTTGGAAGTAGAAGAGAAGGAGACATTGTTAGAGGTGAAATCGAAGAATTGGATCACCATGGATGATAAGTCTGTGCAAGTTTGTGTCGAAGAGGAAGAGAATATCTCGAAGCATTTGGAATTCTTTCTGGACTATAGCGGCCAAAGATTGGTTCCGATTGAGTTGGTTGATTCGGAACATAAGAGTGGGGAGAATACAGAGATTGAAGAAGACGATAAGAACAGGGATCGAGAGTTTATCCCGGATTCTGCAGGTAAGATCGAAGAAAAAACAGATATGGTTGTGGAGGGTGGAGGTGGAGGTGGAGGTGTTGAAGCAACATTTCTTGATATTGATATCAACGAGGAGCCGAAGTATGAACTTCTCGAATCCATGGAACTTGAAGAGGATGAAAATTCTCGACATTTTCTGCTAAATCAATGGACCTCTGAAGAGGTTAGGGATGATCAAGAACTCGATGGAAAGTGTTCGGATGTTCATGGAGGTGTGTTTTAGATGGAGTGTTACGATGTTTCGAAAATAATTTCATATGTGAATTAATTAACTTAATCTGATGTTTTTTTGTAGATTATGTCGCCGCGTGTGAAAAGGTTGCTCAGGCGAGCAATGAAAACGAAGCGGATGTTTCGATAGGAACCGAAATTCCTGATTTAGACGTAACGGACGAGATACAAATCCAAGAATCCGCGCATTCGAACGGTAATTTCTCGATTTTTATCCTATATATTATTTGCAATTAAATTTTTTGTTCTAACATCTGTTCGATCAGGTCTTGTACGAGACGACGACCGAGAGCAGGCGACGGAACTACAATCTTCATCCAATCAGGAGTTGAACGACACAGAAGAAGACAAAGTTCCCGATACGCCGACATCCATGGAAAGCATCAACTACCTCCACAAGAAGCTGCTAATGCTCGAGAAACGGGATTCAGGGACCGAAGAGTCTTTGGACGGAAGCATAACGAGCGAGTTGGATGGCGGCGACGGGCCTGCCACCGTCGAACGATTGAAATCCGCACTCAGATCCGAACGAAAAGCTCTCCAGGTTCTGTACGTCGAGCTCGAAGAAGAACGGAGCGCATCGGCGGTGGCTGCAAACCAAACGATGGCGATGATAAACCGACTCCAGGAAGAGAAGGCGGCGATGCAAATGGAGGCTTTGCAGTACCAAAGAATGATGGAAGAACAGTCGGAATACGACCAGGAGGCGCTGCAATTGTTGAATGAGCTTATGGTGAAGAGGGAGAAGGAGAAGCAGGAACTCGAGAAGGAGCTCGATTCTTGCCGGAAGAAGCTTCTGGAATACGAGACGAGGGAGAAGGCGCGGGCATTGAGCCGTAGCAAAGACGGGAGCGTCTTCTCGGGGGACAGCAGCGACGGATTGTCGATCGATCTGAACCAGGAAGTGAAGGACGACGGGCTGTCGTTTTACGGGAATCAAGAATTCAGCGTCCGCGACACTCCCGTCGATGCCGTCGTCGATTTGGAAGAATCATTAGCTGATTTCGAGGGCGAGCGTCTCTCGATCCTCGAACAACTTAAGTTTCTAGAAGAAAAGCTCTCGACCCTTGATGACGAAAGCCATGTTCATTCCAACGGCGGAGAATCAAACGGGCATGCAGAATCGAACGGGTCGACGACACCGAATTCAAAGCGAATTCAGCAGAGGAAAGTCGCGACCCAGATGGGGAAATCGCTGCTCCCGTTATTCGACGCGATCAGCGACGGGAACGGCGAGCTCGGAAGCGCGGAAAAGGCGAACAAGAAGCGTGCCATCGAAGAAGAAGTCGATCATCTTTACGAGAGGCTGCAAGCGCTCGAAGCCGACAGAGAATTCCTCAAGCATTGCATTCGATCCCTCGAAAAAGGCGATAAAGGGACCGATCTTCTCCAAGAGATCCTCCAGCATCTCCGCGACCTCCGTAGTGTCGAGCTTCGTGTTCGAAGCTCGACCGAATAAAATTAGAAAAAAAAAAAAAAAGAAAAGAAAAAAATCATCGGTAAACAATCTGAATTTCAATTTCCAGTTTTTACATTGTCTGATTTGAATGCATTGATCGATTTATCCTTAATTTTGATTGCAGGTTTCTTACCAAACAGAAGACAAAGGAAGAAGCTTTTGTGTGTATGAAGGACACTTCCACTGGTTTTGAGAGGTAAATTTTTTTTTGCTGTTGTTTGTTTTGTTTTTTTTAAAGATCCAATTTTTGTGTTTGTCCCTCTTTGTGGAAAAAAGGGGGATTGTGAATGCATGTGTGTGTAGTGTAGTGGCAATTTAGTTTACTAGGAAAGATTTTTAATTTTTTTTTTGAGGGGTGGGTGGGTGGGGTGGGGGTAAGGAACCCCCCCTCTGTTATCCCAAATTGATAGTATTTTGTATTGAGGGGTGAGATTTGTACATTGTATTTATATGTATGTATGTATGTAAAAAGAAAAAAAGAACAAAAAAAAAAGGAGTGTTGTTTGTATATATACATACTTTTGTTTGGAGGTTAGCTTTTTGTGCTCTTTTCTTTTTATTAAGTGTAATTTAATTATTTGATTGTTTTTGTTTGTTAAGAAGGAAATGGAAATTGGAAAGCAAAAAAGGTTTGCTGTCACAATGAATTGTGCTTTAAGCATCAGTAAACTTTTTTCTTTTTTTATTTTTTATTATGGAATAATTAGGGTTGTTTGTTTTCATACCATGTATTTTTATATCCATTTGAGAGTTTACAAAATTTTAATATGAAATTGTTGTATTAAGTAGAAAGTTAAATATGTTTTTTTTTTTTTTTTTTTATTTTATGAATTATGTTTGTTTTTTCGAAAGTTTATTGATTAATATAATGTTAATTTAATTTTAATGATTGCCTATGCCTTTTTTTTTTTTTTGGTATATTGTATAGACATTTTATTTAAAATATTCTACATTATTTGTATAGATTGGAAATATTTTAAATTACATATGAAAACACAATAAATAAGTTAAATGATTTAAATTAATCGAAATTAAAACACACTCTCATGTCATGTGTAATAATTTGTTGTACAGCTCACATGCATCATTATTGGATGGACCAGTTTAATGATAGTGGGGTAGCACCTATATCTATACTCCAATATTTGTGTTTATTTAACCGGATATAAATATTTTTTAAAAAAATCAATAAACATATATATTTTTTATAATAAAAAAGTGGCATAAATTTGTATAATATTAACCTTCTCCGATTCTAAAGGTCTCATTTACTTTTTGTATATTGATTTTTAATATTAATTATTATGTTAAAATGTAAGTACAAATTAAAAAAATATATAAAAATACTTCTATTGGTATCTTGTAATACTAATATAAGAACATTTGTAAAATAATTATACAAATATAATATATTTCTAATGTTAACTACCCTGTTATAAAAGGTAAATATAAATATTAGATGCTAATATTTAATTGATCAATTAAAATTACTAAATTTTATGAAAATTAGGCTAGGTTTATATATGTATTTTTAAAATTTTTAAAATTATTGATATATAATATATATATATATAGTTATCATATTAAATAACTACTTAAATAAAGCTTTGGCTACCCAATTTTATTTATTTATATTAAAATAAAACATTTATAAAAGTAAAGGAAATGTTTGTTGGGTTTTAAGTTATTTTTGAGTTTTTATAAAAAAACCATTTTTTTTTTTAAAAAAGTAAAGTTTTAATACTCCCTTCGTCCCATAAATATAGTCTTGAATTGGACACGAAATTTAAAAAATATTGATAGTCGGTAAAAAGTATGGATAAAAGATTTTTTTGCCTTTGTGAATGTATTAGTGTAAAAAGTAGTGACAATTGTATAATAAAAATGAAAAAGTAAGGGTAGTTTTACGGTGATATAATTATTTATGAAAATAAGACTATTATTTTGAAACGGACAAAAATAATAAACAACACTGTTGAATTGAGACCGACTGAGTATAATATTTTTAATAAATACTCTATAATCTGGATTAATTAGATCGGACATTAATTAATGAATCACACGTTCTCCTAATGATTGTCGAATATTCTCTTCTGGCAAAGACTATTATTTAAATAAAGTATGAGTTTAATATTTTAATATATATACCGAGATGTTAATTATCTCTATAGTACTTGTCCAATTTTTATTTCATTTTTTTTTAAAATTTATTTAAGATTGAATTCGAAATAAACTTTCTATTAAAATATTAAATTAAGTTTATCCAAAATTCCTATGTAACTGTTTGATATTTTTACTAGTATTTTATATATGTTTTAGGTTAAAATAATACTCCCTCCGTCCCAGATACCATGTCCACGTTGCCGTTTCTATCCGTCCCACATATTATATCACGATTACACACTTTAATCTCATTTTAAATTTTTAAATTTTATTTTTTTAATTTTAATTAAACTAATTAGTTATCTTAATCTTAATTTATAATTATTTATATTATAGAATAATTATTTTCACTAATACATTCTTAATTATCTACTAATTACATCTCTCCTAAAATACAATGTCTACGGTGTAGCAGACACGATATGGGACAGATGGAGTAATTAAATATAATATTTTATATGATTAAAAATACGATGTTTTATTAAAAAAATTAATATATTGAATAGTAAGGAAAAAATAACAAAATAATTTACTGTTATGCTTATAGCTTACTTGTATCTTATTTCAATCTACTTATTTTGTTTTAATATTTATATTTATATGAAACTAAATACTACTCTGTCCGTCCCACATGCCGTGTCCGCTACACTGTAAACACGGTATTTTAGAAGGGGTGTAATTAGTAGATAATTAAAAATATATTAGTAAAAATAATTATCCTATAGTATAAATAAATATAAATTAAGATTAAGATAACTAATTAGTTTAATTAAAATTTTTAAAAAATAATTAAAATTTAAAAGTTTAAAATGAGATTAAAGTATATAATCATTTTCAAAAAAAAAGTGACATGGTATATGGGACGGACAGAAACGCAACTTAGACATGATACGTGAGACGGGGAGGGAGTATTAAATACTTATTAAGTATAATGTTTTTTATTTATTGACAATTAAATGCAAAACGAGAGCAAATTATATGAGGCTTGCAGCTCTTAAATGGGCCTATTGGCCCAATACCTATTTTCTTGTACTATAACTTTATATTTTTATAATAAAATTTATTACATTTAAAAATGACCGTTTATCATATAAAAATATAATTATTTTATATTTAAAATATGTGTTAAATAAATTAGTATTTTTTTATTTAGAATTTAAAAAATAAAAAATTCTATCGTTTTTTTTTATCAAAATTTTCAAAATTTATTATTTGAATTATACTCCATCTGTCCCAAAAGATACGTCTTATTGGAGATTGACAAGATAATTAAGGAATAATAATATTTAATTGAAAATGAGTATAAAGTAGAATCTAAAAAACTAAAATACCCTTGTTTTTTTTGTTTAAAAGTATGTTGGAGTAATAATTGGGGATAGTTTGAAAAAGTAGAAATAATTTTGTTATAAAATAGAGACCATAATTACTATATAAGGAAACGAAACAATTGTTTTGGAATGGACGAAAATACAAAAACAAGATAACTCTTTTGGACAGAGGAAGTACATCTTTTGAATATATATATATTACAAATTATCTAATCAAATATTATTTTAACATTAATTCAAATCAAAAAATTTCAAAATCATCGAAAACAAATATACCTAAGTTGTGTGTGTGTGTTTTTCTTTCTTTTTCATTTTTAAAATATTTAATATTTTAATAATTTTAAATAAAATAATCATTACATAATATTTTGTATGAGAAATATGTATTCAATGATATTTCTACAGAAATTTTGAGAATAATAATAATAATAATAACAACAACAATAATAACTCAAATTAGAAAGATCACATGTGTTTGTTTTGTAAAATAATTTGAATGAATATTTTTTAATGTGATGCGTAGATAAATATGCAACAAATATAAAAATAATAAATATATGTGATATATTAATAGTTTTGAAAAAATTTGTATATAATTTTTATTAAAAGAAAATATCCATAACTTTGTTCACTCATGCTTTTTACGCCTTTTTTTTTTATTTTTATTTTTTGTTCTTTTTGTATATTTAAGGTAAAATAATTACTCATTCCATCTCATATTTCGTGTTTATTTGTTATTTTAATCTGTCCTATATCTTATATCACATTAATATTTAGAAAATAATTTCACATTTTAATTACATTAAAAATATTTAATCTATAATTTTCCTTTTTTCTCTAAATTAAATTAATTATTTATTTTAAATTTAATATATAATTATTTATATTGTAATGTAATTCTTTTTACTAATATATTTTTTAATTATTTATTAATTATGCCACTATTAAAATCTTTCATCTCTACCATACACATGACCTTAACAGTTAGACAAAGTGAATGAAAATTATGAGATTTTATATAAAAATATATGAGTTTAATGTAATATTTTATAGCGAAAAATGGAAAAAATATTATAATACAAAATGGAAAAATATAAAAAGAACTCTAGGATATTCGATTTTTAAAATTTATCTATTGCAGAACATTTATGACTATAAAATACTCTAGCTTTCACTCAAAAAAAAAAAAAAATAAATAGTGCAAAAATTATTTTTGATTTCATTATATATTACAATTATCAATTTTGATCATATTAATAATATATATATATATATTTTTATCAATTTTAATCTTATTTAAATTAAAAATTTATAAATTTTACTTCCATACTTAAAGGACTCAAATATTAAGCTTGAACAATTATTAAATTTATTTTTGGCACGAGTTTTTAGATGAGTAGTATTAAGTAGGATAATTTAGAAATTAAGTGATGCGATGGAGAGAGAAATATATATTTTATCTTTTTATTTGGATAATGTAAGAAAATAAAGTGTGAGGTAGAGATTAAGTATAATTAATTATTTCATATTTTGGAAATGTTGCAGGTGCTTGAGACATAACGGAAAGAATATTATTTATTAAATAATAAAAAGTAAAAGCTTAAAATAATACTAAAATAAGAAAATTCGATTGGGTTAAGTATGATTTATTGACATACCTAATTAATTTTGACCAATTCTTCACGCACAAATAAAGGGAGTAGCATTAATTTCAAATCTTATACTTTGTCAGCTAATTAATTTACTAATAAAACACTCGTGACAATTTATAAATATTATGTATATATATATACTTAAGTTTGACATATTTGTAATTTCCTTTTATGTATTAATAAGCAGTGGCATAATTATTTGCGACCAATTCCATACATTTGAAAATGTTACATTAATAGCAACAATTTATACGATTAATTATTTTTTTTTATATGTGGTAGAAGAAACTGTGTTAATAATATAAAAAAGAAATACTTTGTGTTGAATAATTGATTTTTTATGAATAAATGATATATATTATATTAATATATATGCATATTTGTACTTTTTAATAATATTTATGAAAAATTGTTCCATTAAAAAATGTTGAGTGAACAGACTATAATTATTACTCTATATATTTTATTTAATTTTCTTTTAATAATATAAATAAACTCTAATATCCAAAATTCTCTTATAATAATCAGATTTAGTGTGAGTAAAAGTAAAATTAATTTTTACTTTAATATAAAACTAAAAATAAATATTTTATTTGATATTATTTTAGAAAATTAATAAATAATGTGGTATAAAATCTTCACATACTCCAACTAAACCCACTTTAAATGACATTACTCTCTTTGTTAAAAAATGCTTGTATGATTATTTTGGAGCTTTGAGTTTTTTTTGTCAATGTTTTAATTTGATTTTTTTTTTAAAGGATACGGAAAATAGTAGTATCTCATTATACAACCGATCTATTCATTTGTATTTGACGTTATTATTCTTAACATTAATAATTAATATTCACATCCAAAATTTATAATTATATTTTTATATAATAATTAATATTCAAAATCAATATTCCCTCCATTTAACATTAATTTTTTTTTTTGGTACAAATGTCATTATATTAGTATTAAAGACACCGATGGAAGAATTTTTGTAATTTTTTATTAATTTGTACTATATTTTGATATAATAATTAATATTCAAAGATCAACCCGAAAAAACTAAATGAAATCTTTAGAGCCGGATAAAGGTAATATATAAAAAATAAATGAATAAATTGACGATAGACAAAAATAATATAGTAAACGGAAATAACATAATAATATAAAAATAATATTTTATATTTAATAATTAATTGTGTGTAGTTCTTTTGATGAATTTAAAAAAATTTAATTTAAATTTGATATAGAAATAATACTCTGATGGAATTTTATGAAAAAAATAATATATATAAAAGAGAATTCAAATCATAAAATTTGGAATAAACTTTGCTAATGAAATACGGATATCATAATAAATAAATTTACAATTTTTTAATTTTATTTTCCAAGCGTTGACTATGGCAGTTTGCATAGTGCGTGTCAGTTTCTTCATACAAAAATATATAATTAAAAATAAAAATAAAATACATATGCTTGTTTTGCAAGGACAAAATTGTTCTGTCCATTCGGAATGCAACTTGAGGCTTTCGACTTCGCTTCCTTTTCTTGTCGCTGTTCTTCTTCTTCTCCAAAAGTGCTTTGTTTAGGTCAACACGTCTGCTCTCTTGTCGCCATTTTGGCGCTGGATAACTCGATTTTATACGCAATTTTTTTGGGGTAAAAAAATGCGAAATCATTTATTCGCCTGCAGAGCTCAATCCGAGTACAGTAGTTTGCGATTCTTCGATGAAATGTTGTTGGCCTGATCTGATGAGTAAATCCAAGAGCTTCTTCCGGAACTTATTCAGACCTTTCACAAACCACGCGAACAGAGGTACTTTGAACTTGTGGTTAATTTATTTCAATTCGACACAGCAATTGGCTGTCGTGTTGGGTTTTTTTTTTTTTTTTTTTTTTTTTTTTTGTAGTCTGAAGTTTATACGACCGAGTTTTGTTGTTTCATTGACCAAAGAAGATAGAGACGATGTAGACATAGAGAGATTTGCGGAACAAGAGCAGAAGCAGTTTTCATTTCAGGCGCTTTCCGCAGCAACCAAGGATTTTCACCCGTCGCTGAAGCTTGGGGAAGGTGGATTCGGCGCGGTTTACCAGGTATGTATTTGGAATTTCGATTACGTCGTTATTCCCCTGCTGCGCTGGAATTGAATTAGGGTTTTGGTTGAAATCCATCGATTAGGTCAAATTGAATTGGGGAAATTTTGAGTAAGGATATGATTAGGGCTTGTGGCTGTGAATTATGACTTCGATTAGGGCACTTTGGACGATGGCCGAAAAATTGCAGTGAAGAGGCTGTCGCAGCGATCATTGCAGGGGAACAGAGAGTTCCAGATTGAAGCCAAGCTTCTGTCCCGCGTTCAGCACAGAAATGTGGTGCATTTGTTGGGATTCTGTGCTGATGGTGAAGAAAGGCTTCTTGTTTACGAATTCATCCCCAACGACAGCCTCGACAAGCTTCTCTTCAGTGAGTTTTCTTCGGTTTTGTTCGACTTGATTTTTCAATAATTAGACATTACTCTTTCTCCTGCATTGACAACACATAGCAAGAATTTGGTGAAATCATAATCTTCTGTGTTATGAATTATGATTCTGGAATTGATTTATAGTTTTATGCTGCAAGAAACAAGATTCAATTAATGTTTGATATCGATTCGTAATTGTGTGCTAATAGTTTAGAATCCGACAAGCTGGAATTGCTCTATTGGAAGCGAAGGTTGTTATGATATGATATGATTCTGGAATGGATTTGTAGTTTTACATTGCAAGAAACAGGATCTATTAATGTTTGATATTGACTCATACTTGTGTGGTATTTATTTAGAATCTGAGAAGCGAGAATTGCTTGATTGGAAGCGAAGGTATGATGTTATAACCGGCGTTGCAAAGGGTCTGAGCTATCTTCACAATGACGCAAACTGTACGATCATACATCGCGACATCAAAGCCAGCAACATCTTGCTTGATGATAAATGGGTTCCCAAGATTGCAGACTTCGGTATGGCTCGCCTCTTTCCTGAAGATCAAACTCATATCAATACCCGTGCGGCTGGTACCAAGTATGCTTTTCGACAAATTTGGAGAAGTAACACTTTTGTTGTTCTATATCTGGCGTTCGATATTCAGTTAGATAGCATTGCCTGTCAAATTCATTGAAATTGCTGAACTAACATGTTAATTTGATTGCAGTGGTTATATGGCTCCGGAGTACCTAATGCATGGCAATCTTTCTAAAAAGTCTGATGTTTTCAGCTTTGGAGTTGTCGTTCTTGAGCTGGTTACCGGACAGAAAAACTCGACTTTTAACAAGGATCCGGATTCGAGGAGCTTGCTTGAATGGGTAAGAACTTGAACTTTAGAGTACATTTCGGTGCATTAAGGTTTCGATATCCAACCTGCTGATAACTGGTAATCTAGAATAGCTTATAATCTATATTAGAACATCACCATATTAAATTTTTTGAAAAGGTTCAATTTGGGCAAAATCGAGTGTTTTCTCTATGATTTGTGATGATGTGAATTTCTTAAGTTTTTACATCCTTGTATACGCGACTCATGGAGGCTAAAAATTGATTTCTAGTGTGGACTTCCATGGCGCTCTTAATGAATGCATTAAATTTTAAGGTCCAATTTTGGGTAAAATCGATAGACTAAAAATTGATTTCTGGTGTAGTTTTCCTGGAGCGCTTAATGAACGCGGACCCATAATTATCTTGTGTTATTGAAAAATTTTTGGTGATTCATTTTGCACCCAACTACATGGCGAACGAACTATTTGCTTGACCTTCCAGTAATGGCTAAATTAATTGCTTGCAAGAACAGGTCAGAGTTGTTGTAATTCACATATTCGGACTACTACTGATGTCACAAGATGACATAAATCTTCAAAGAACCTTTCTTAAAACGGTCAAAAGATGAGACCAAGTGTTCTTCTATTGAAGAACATTAAGACGTCTCGACTCTGATACCATGTTAAACGACAATTTCACTTAAAAGCTTAAATTTTTTCGTTTCTTTATTTACATATTCGTTTGACCCATCGATTTCTTTCGATTTTTTAGGTGTATAAACTATACAAGAAAGATAGAATTCCGGAAATCATCGATCCGTTGCTGGTGGCATCCTCAGATTTCGAGCAAATATCCTTCTGCGTATGGATAGGGTTGATGTGTGTCCAATCTGAGAAGGATCTACGGCCAGACATGGAGCGCGTGGGCGTGATGTTGTCGAGAAAGCCTTCCGATCTTCGAGTACCGACGCGGCCAGGGTACCCGGGGTCCCGGTACAGAAGGCTTAGCCGTACAGTTGGATCGACTGTGACCGCCCCATTCGATACGTCGAGTTCCCGATCCTACGAGTCGACAAGCACATTAAGCGGCGGCGGCAGTAGCACGTCGGGCGTTATGGGAAGCACACAACAAAATGCGACGCCGAGTGGAAGTACGTTCGAGCTGACGAGCCCCCGACGGCAGCAGCCACAGCACCGGCGGGGAAGACGGCCTGAAGATCCCCACGGGAAGCGGCCGGTGAACAATTAGGTAGAAAAGATTATATATGTATTCTTTTGTATATACATACATATATTATACATATATATATATATATGAAATTTGTTCATAACTTTTGCCCTGTCGAAGAAATACTCCATGATTTTGCGTTGTACTATAGGATGGCCTTGCAATTTTTTTGTATATTTTTTTACCTTGTTGTTATTATTATTATTGTTATATATATCCAATTATTTTGTGTTGCAAAATATAAAATCATATTTTCTACGTTCCACTTGTATTGTCTTTTACCGGCCGTACGTACCGGCCACTGACCAGAGTTGATTCATTTAAATAATTTATTTTTATTTGTAATTTATATTGGTTTCTATTCGATTATTGACTTCTTCTTATTCTTATTTTTATTTATTGAAAATATTAGTATTTCACATTATGCATTTTCAACTCATTAAACCCAATGATATTTTAGATATTTTCATTTTAACAAAGATTGTTCTTTTATAATTTTAATTTGAAATTAATATTATTTAGATTATAATTTTTAATTTTTTTACAAAATATTATATTAAAATATTATTTAAATATAAATTCAAATTAAAATCTTAATAAATGATACTATTTTTTTTTTTCAATTTACTAATAAAAATACAATACAAATAAGACAAAAAAAAAAAAAAAAATGGGAATGATTAGGACGACAGCTAGCACATAAAATACAAAAACACAAAACTTGGTAAACGCTTTTTTATTTTTATATATCTTATATAAGTATTGGGAATGATTAGGAGGACCGTAGCACATAAAATATAAAAAACACAAAACTTGGTAAACATTTATTTATTTTTAATTTATATTATATTAACATATTTCGTGCAATTAATTTATATTTTATTTGCTATCTGCATATAATTCAAATTAAATTTTATTTGATTCAACTCCATAGAAGCAGTTATAATTATTCCAATGCATCCAATTCTTAAAAAGAGACATTAAAACATACAATGATGAAGTATGGTTAGAATGAAACATACATTTGATACAAACATCACAAGTTTCACAAAACAACTTAAAAAATAAATTATCGCACGATCTTCATTGGTATAACCTATTACTCGACAGGTAAGACCACGCTTCCATTGCAAGTTCTGGAAGTAATTGTTGTCAAATGAATTCCGCGTCACCAAATCGAGTGGCCATGAAATTTTAGAAATATTAATAATATATTAAAATATAATATAAATAAAAAACCTAAAATATTCTCGACATAAAAATTTATTATAATGATATATTTGTAATGTGTAGGGCCTATGAGATCCTCTATCATAAAAATACCCTCTCCTCCAATCTCTATACACATAATAAATATACATACACATGTGTGTATGTAGAATATATACACACTATGCGTGCGGGATAGAGAGATAGAAAGTGTTAGTGAGACAGATGATTATGTCTGAATATAGGATAAGTTTTGAGAATAATTTTAATAGTAGGTAAGTATTAGAATTACTAAATTTTTTTTTTATTTTGGGACGGATCAAAATAAAAAAAAAAAAGAATAAATATTTAAATTATAAATTTTAGTATTCAATTATCAAATTCAATTTGAAATTCAAACCCTCACCTACGTCCTTACCATTCCAAACTGCCTATGTTACTTCAACAGTAAACATTTTTAGCAGGTTATATACGATATACGAATTCGTATAAATACGTACGTCATTCACAAATTAATTTATGTTTTCTACGTCCAACCAAACAGTCCCTAATTAACTTCCCCAACAAGTCACACGCCCGCCGTGAAGGGTACTCCGGCGGCCGCAATCCACGATTGATCTCCGCTGTAGAAATTCCCGACGGCGAACATTCCGGCCTCCCCTGCTCTGCCTATAACATGGAATCCTGGCCAATTGACTCTCGCCTCTGTTCTCGCTCCGATTCCGACGTTCATATACTCGGCGTAATACAGAGTGCTCAGACCAAAATCGCCGCTCCACGGACTCCAGCCGGCCGGATCCACCACGCCGTCGATTCTACACTTGATCAAAACCGTTCGCGAGTACTTCTTCCACGGTCTGCCGAGATAGCTCGAATATAGTCTCTGGACGGGGATCAGATCTGAGGCGGCGGTTATTACGGAGTTCTGGATGACGATTCCGGTGTTTTCGTTAGGGCTTTTTCTTCCCTGCGCTGTCACGGTGTTCGTCTGATGCGGCAATGGCTTTCGGATGTATATATTGCAGTTTTGGAAGATCGAAGCGGCGTCGCCGAAGATGAAATCGACGGTGCCGTAGATGTCGCAGTCGCGGTAGAATTGCCGCTGCGAGTGAACGTAGAGAGTGTCCTGATAGCCTTCGAAGCTACATTTGTAGAAGATTGAGTGATCGGAACTTGACCGGAGGGCGACGGCTTGGTGCTTCTCGGCGCCGGCGGCGTTCCTGAATGTCATTCCGATTGCTACGAAGCCGTCGCCGGAGACACCTGTACGTATATTTTTACATTTATTTTATATCAATCAATTTCATTATTCTTATTATTATTATTATGAAGGCTTAATTTAATTACCGACGGTTGCTGATCGGAAGGTGGTAAATCCATCTTGAACACTCTTGCTAGCAACCACGACCGTCCGATCTATCCCATCTCCGATCATCATGATATTCTTCATCGATCTCTTAACCTCAACATTTTCCATATAAACACCCTTCTTCACATATATCACAATCCTTTCCATTCCTTCTCCCTTCCTTCCCTTCGAAATTGATTTCAAAGCCTCCGAAATACTCATATAATCTCCGGTGCCGTCGCGCGCCACGACGATATCGGCCTTCATAGGCGCATCCGACGATTGGGCGACAGCCCAATCTCGGAAGTCGTAGCGACGGCGATGATTGCGCCGTTTTCGCCGTTGATTTGTGCCAATTATCTCGTCGGAGTTATCCGCAACCCGAGCCTTACTAATAGCAAGGGAGTTGCTTAGAAATTTGGTTAGGCCGACGAATGGGGAGGATCGAAAATGATCGACCGACAAATTGAAGTCGCGGAATCCATTCTCGCACGTTTCTTGATTGGCGATTGCGGCGCTGAGCCATGTTTGAGCATCGTGGAAGTCGATCGTGCTTGTAGCACCGATCGATCGATTGAGATGGTGGATTGTGTCTTCGTACAGCTCCGAGCAATCGATCCAAGCTGTTCGCTCTAGCTTATTGAGCAAAGATCGTTTGATCTTCGTCGCAATGTGGCTTCGGGCTTCTTGTACTCTAGCGAGGGTCACTCGAAGGCTCGCGGCGTGCAAATCGACAACGTTTTTGACTAGAGTTTGTTGGGAGATGGTGGTGAGGGAGTTGCATAGGTTGGGGTAGGGTGTTAGGGTGCAAATAGAAGTGTAATTTGCAATAGTAGTGGTCATAATTTGGTTAAGGACGAATAGAAGTAAGAACCTTAGGAGAGGTAAAGAAGTATGAGTATCCATTATGAGCAAATTAATGATATTATAGACATACCTATATACCTCTATATATATATAATGCACATATGACTATGTATTATGCATCTGCGCTACGTACGTTAATACATTATGCAAATCTCTGATACTATGTTAGATATTGAAATTACCATTTTACTCAAAAATTTAAAGCGATAAGAATATGAGTTATTAATTATTTTTTTAACGTAGGGAGTCCCATCAGTAGATGCATTAATTAAGGTAGTGAAAATGAAGTATGCAGGCATATAGGCACAGACACGTAGGAATAGATATAGATATATGGTTGGCGTGCATGCATGCACACGTACACCTTCAAATAAAGATATGCAGTTCGTGAAAACAGAAGCTTCTGGAAGCGTTTTATTGTTGTTTGGTTGTTTCCACACGTCATCGTATTGCTGGTTCATATATATACACATATATTATGCATGGGACAAAAATGATATTCTATGTTTGGGATTTGTCGAATTTAGTTTGCAGGCTATTATGTGCTTTTGTAGTTTACCAAAAGCTCCCACATTATCGAAAAAAAAAAAAGTTATTTTAAATCATATTTGAATATGAGTGGAAAATAAATTAAGAAAGAATATTAATATATATTTTTTTTTAAAAAATGATTTTTTTATATGTAAAATGGTTTATAATTAATTAATTGTAATACATATGATATGATATATGTAATTCCAATAAAACCAATAATTTTAGTATTTCTTTTCCCCTTAATTTAGCTACCATGTGATAAAATACAACGACAGATATCTAATGAAACATTTAATTTAACTAATGAAAATAACAATACTATTTTTATGTCTAATTTTTACGATTTCTTTTGTATAACGGATATATCTTTAAATTCTTACATAAAGCAATTTTACTGTTTTATATTTTATGCAATTTTATATTTTCTTTAGATGAATAAAAAGGGTATTATTATTGAATTATTGCTTAGACTGTTCTCTTTGATATTTATTTTTATTTTTTAATTTCTTTAGTGTCTCATGATTATGATTAATAATGATACTTTATAAATATATAGTATGATTTCTAAGTACTAATAAAAAACAAAAAAAATAATAACAAAACACACTTTAAAGATTTGTTTTTATTTTTTATTTTATTCTTGTGTGTTTATGGTTTACTTATTTCATTGTTTAAAATTTCAATTTTCATAAAAATAATTATAGCCGACACATAATTCTTATTCAAAACATCATACCTAATCACCAATTTATTTAAAATAAAACAACATGAGAAATATAAGTAATAAAAAAATAGTAAAATATTAGATGATGTAAATGACCATTTTATCCAACAATTTAAAACAGTCATTTACATCGTATTAAAGTTAAAGACAAAGATTATATATATAAATATTACAAATCAAAATAAAAATGCTTATTGGCAAATGCTAAATTTAATTTAGATGTGTAGTGTAGGCACGAAGGCCTCGTGAAGCTAAATTTTTGTGCATGTGACAAAATTCCTTTTTTGTTTTTTTAAATTAGTGATTAATTAATTTGACGAGTGCATAAAAAATGTGGTCGGAGAGTAATTTCACAAAAGTATCTCTTTCATATGTTGCCACGTGGCTAATAACTGTCAGACATCAGTTTTTGTTTCCTCCTAAATTTACTGTGTATTTATTTTTAGGAGAAAAAACTTTGGCATGGTGGTACATGAATATCCTTACAATTATATTTTGGGTTATTATTTCACAAAAATTTTGCATGACGTTATAACATAATAATAATAATAATAATAATAATAAATATTAATAGTTCGGTAAGAGATTGATTTGTGATTACTAGATTATAGGTTCAAATCCTGATGCATTATGTCATACATAGTTTGCCTAATATGACTTTTTATTTTGTTTGGAATTTACGCAGAGTCAGTTTCGGTATCGATATATTCTTACGTGAAATTATATCATATCTCTTGAAAATGTTTGTGGTATTAAAATAAAACATTATAAATATATTATAATCTAAAAAGTGGATAAAAGAACACATTATTCTAGATATTATATTCATTAACATACAAAATGGATGAAATGAAAATTAAAAAGAAACATACCTGAATCAGTAAATAAATATACTTAAAAAATGTCTACAACCTCCATATAATGCATATATATATACATATGTATGATACTTCACTCCGTCCCAATACAATAGTCATATTTATCATTTTTGTTCATTCTAAAATAATAGTCTCATTTCTATAAATAACCATATCACTATAAAATTATCCTTACTTTTTCATTATTATTACACAATTGCCACTACTTTTTACACTAATACACTCACAAGAGTAAAAAAATCTTTAATCAATAGTTTTTATCCACTACCACTATAATATCAATATTCCTTAAATTTCGTGTCAAATACAACCCAAACTATAATTGTGAGACGGAGGGAGTAGTATATTGTAAAGATGGCAAAAATAAGTACGATTCGAAAGCCCGATTCGAGCACGACACGAAAAAATCGTGTTTGAGCCTAAGAAATAGGCCCAAAAATTTTCGGACGAGATCATGTCTAGCCAGCTCAATTTTTAAAATTAATATTTATATATATATATGAAATTTTGAAATAAAGGCAAATTATAATATGACTTGACAATAAAAATCTTAGTTTGTGTATGTTTGACCGTGGGTTCAATTTTTTACTTCTACTGTTAAAATATATTGAGTAATTATTTATGTAAATATATTAATTGAAAATTGAAAAGCAAAAAGAAAAATGGAAACGGAAACGGAAATGGAAATACAGACGGAGAGGAGAGACAGACATATCCCTTTCAATCCAAACTGTCTTTCACGTGCCTTCCACGTGTTTATCTCTCATTCATTCTTCCAAACATACAAGTTCATTTTATTTATTTATCATATACTATATTATTTATTTTTAATAATTCCAATTTTTTGGTCCACCCGTTTATCTATTTGTTTTTTTTTTTTTTTTAGGTAAATTTTAAAATATTGACATACGCAAATTAATTAACTTTGCATTAGTATTATTGTTTTCAAAATTTGTCAATTTCTACAACTGATATAAAAATAAGTTTGATAATATGAGTGGGGCCGTTGTGTTGAAGCTTTTTGTTTATACTTTCCAAATTATTTACTCCCATGCCATCGTTCTAATTATTATTATTATTATTTTTTTTTATCATTATGTCTCATTTTAAAGTTTTATTTTTTTATTTTTTAAAAAATAATAATATACTAATATTCAAATACTATTTATTTTTATTTAAATTGTAAATATACTATTACATATATAATTATTTATACATAAAATAAAAAGACAAAAATATCAAAAATATTTACATAGGTCCACTAACTAATAATATACTACTATTATTTATTAATTTATCATAAAACCTCAAAAAACCCCTCTAATTTGGGGCAAACTGATTATTAGTTTATTATAAGTTACTCTTGTTCTTGTTTTTTTTGATACTTTGTGGATTTATTGAATAGTTAAAATTAGTTTTTTTTTATTATTATTTTATTTTTTTTATTTGTATTGTTTATTTATTTTTCGCTTATTATATTTTTTAAAATAATATCAAATAGTAATAATGCATTTTTTTAAGAAAAAAAAAATTAAAACGAAACTCCAGAAAATGCATGGGTCTAATTTAGTACTCCCTTCGTCCTAGGTAATTTGGGCGCGTTAAGGTAGATACGCGAATTTAGGTAAAATATAATTAGTAAGTAATTAAAAAGCGTATTAGTAAAAATAATTATTGTATAATAAAAATAATTATAGATTAAGATAACTAAATACTTTAATTTAGATTAAAATTATAAAATATAAAATTTAAAATGTAATTAAAGTGTATAATTATATTTCCAAAAAATAAAATGACAAGTTATGTGGGACGGAGGGAGTACAATTTTAAATCAACTTCTAATTCAACATAATTAATCAATCATATTTTCATAAATTATCAAATAAATAGATTTTGCAAGAAATAAAAAATGTCAAAATGTATTGTCTAATTCGATCGGTCACATAAAAAACCTACTCTTAATTATAGTAATTGCAATGACATATTGTAGTCTGAAATATTTCTAATTATATGAAAATTGTACGTATTTAATATTTCCATTTGCCTTAGCCCCACCCATCCTTTAAATTTAATTATAATATATATATATATTTTTTACATATATAGTAAAAAATAATTAAAAATATTCAAAATGTTAGTATAACAAAAAAATTCAGTACCAAATTGATTTATTACTGAAAATTTTTAAATTTTGGTATATAAAAAATTTCAGAATTGTATAATATCCTATCGATTTGATTTTTTTTTTCTCGGTACAATAATGATATATAGTTTGATATTGTTATATATAGTAAAATAATTTCAGGATATTAATACTTAGTACATCGACATATACCAATAATTCAATATATTAATATCAAAATTATTATTTTTAATTTCAGTATTTCGATATGAAAACTGATGTATCAAAATTTTAGTATTGTATCAATATGTATATTTATTATACTGATTTTTCGGTATATCAAATTTTCGGTGCGATATATTAGTATAATTTTAATACCATACCAAAAAAATTTAATACACTATACGGTGTGATCTGATATTTTTGTTATGCCTTACCGAATCATCATTATACATTTATAAATAAACTGTGTTATTTTAAAAGAAAAATAGTCTTCTTTATTCGATTTCTAGTTCCGCCATGTATATAGAAAACTATTTAGTCATTTTTTTTCCAACTTATTCATACAATTGTGATTAGTTTGATCTACATAAATCATGATTGAACAGCTAATAATTAATTAATTAATTAATTAATTTAGCCTGTGATGAATAATTGTTTGGTCACAATGGTATCATTAGCCATGTCAAAACAAATTTCACTAGTAACTCTATTTATTTGTTAGATTTTATCTATGATTTTGTCATTCTAATTTATTTTTTTTTTTCAAAAAGGGCAAATCAAATACTCAATTTTTTTATTTTATTTTATTACATAAAAATATAATTTTATATTTAAAGCATCACATCAATATATATATTTATATCAAATCAAACAATTATTATAATTTAAAATTTTAATATTTAAAATCAAAACTTCGCAGGTAAACATTTGTACCTTTATATATATATATATATATAAAGCGGTGATCGAAATTAATTAGTATTGTGTGACACTATGAAATTCATATTGTTAGTATAAAATATGTAAATTAACAATACAATATTTATGTTAAAAAACATAAATACTAATACATACACAATTAATTATAGTATTAGTCCAATCAATGCCTTGGTAGTCTATATTTTATGTTTTGTTAATAAATCTTTAATGAACACTCTTTACTTTCGATTATATATGTATGAGAATGTATAATGTGTCGAACTAAACTCGAGCAAAAACTCGAGTAAGAGTTTTTGCATATCGGGTGAATCAACAATGCCGATTTGAATAAGTAATTATCCGTGCTATCAGTTTATGTGTTATGATGCATTTATAATATTTTAATATAAATCATATATTGTTATTGTTATACTTCAATTTTTTAGGTGATTGTTTTCTTTTTTTTTTTTTTGTTATGAATTGACAAACTATCAATATTATCTTGAATTATAAATTCAAAATAATAATCCTGTCTTATAAAACTGTGCGGTGAGATTCAAAGTATTTTTTTTTATTATTATTTTTTTTGCATTCTATAGTAAAAAAAAAATAAAATACTCCCACATAATCCACTAGTGTGCTCAAATATTTGTGCATGAGTTTTGGTATAAGTTGATAATAATTGTTATTTTGGTGTTGTTGTTGTTTTTTTTTTTTTTTTTTTTTATTTTTTTATTTAGTGAAAAATGTAAAAATGGTAATGTATTTGTTTGCTAATAAACAATAAATTTTTTTTATGACAGTTATATATATAAAAAAAATAAATTTAAATAAGGACAATATTAATTATATTCCCAAACAAAATTCTATCTATAACTGCACCCAAAAAAAAAAAAAACCAACAAAAAACAAAAAAAAAAAAAAAACAAAAAACACACACACAGAAACTACCAATAAATGATCAACTCTGTTGCTACTTTCTACTAATAAAATCACAAACACACAAATCATCACTGAATGCAGATTCCTCCACACAAAAATTAAATTAAATTGAACAATACTGATTATTATATTTTTTTCACTCAATTTAATAAATTCATAATGAATTTTAGCAAATAAATAATTAATTATTAATTATATACTATATAAATATAAATATAACCTTAGGTTTAATCAGCAATTGGCAGCGAAACTGTTGACGAGTGCCAGCGCATTGCTGGTAACTTCCTTCACACTGACTGTCCGATCACAGACGTCGATCTTAATCGGATCGTCCATCACGCCGTCGAATCCGTCCGTACACGTCTCCTCGTTCGTCAAGGCGGCGCTCATCCACGTCTGCACGTTGCTCATCTGGAACCTCAGCTCCTCGCCGAACGTCGACAGCCGCCGCATCTGATTAATCGAGCCGCGCATCTGGCTTACCGCGTCGCCGAACACGGCGGAGCAGTCGCGGAGCGCTGCGGCGGCGCGTGGATCGGAGAAGTCGTTTCGATTCCGACCGCGCGTGAGGTTCGCGAGGTAGGCGGACATACCGGTGGCGCGTGAGAGGCTAACGCCGATGGCTACAAGCGCGAGCCGAGCCGGATCCTGCTGCACTGCGTTGGCGTAGCCGGATAGAGAGTGGTAGCAGAGCTCCGGGTACTGCGTCGTCTCGCAGCTCGTGCGGATGAACTCGGAGGCGTTGGCGGTGGTCGGAGGAGCAGGCTCCTGATCTTCCGCCGCCGCCGCCTCCGAGGCGATGGCGGCGGCGATGGCGACGGAGAAGAAGAGAATGAGGCGTAGAATTCTCATCGTTTTTGCGTGAACGGAATTCGGTTAGAGAATGTGGAGTGAGTGCGGGCGCAATCAATTTCAAAGGACGGGCGGGGAGTTTATAAAGCACTTGCAACATATGTGATTTGACTATTCTGCCCTTCTGACAGTTTTGTTCACTTTTACCATACGTTACTAGTTTTGTAAGCTAAAAAAAATATTTTTAGCAGAGAATAAAAATAAATATTTCAATGATATTATTTATAGAATGCGTTCTTTAATTACAAATAATTATAAAAATATAAGATATATTCACACAATATATAATATATATGTTTTTCTAAAAATATCAATAATTCACAATAAAATGTTATTATTGATATTTTTTCGTATTTAATATAAAAAATTATAAATTAAAATTATAAAACATTACATTCATATGGTGCATTGTTTTTTATTCTAAATAAAAAATTTAAACTATTTATTTGCATGATTTTCAATAAAAATATATTACTTTTATTTTTATAAAAGATTACATAAAAAATCTCCAAAAATAAAAAATAAAAATCACATACTAAAGAATACACATGTTTCTTTAATTTGGGTTTGGATTGAAACAATTTGATTTACATTTTATATTTAAATTATACGTTTAATATGACATTTTATGAAAAAAATAATTCGAAAAATACAGTTCTAATAATAATAATAATAATAACAATAACAACAACAACAACAATTGCATTCTTTTGTGAATTTTCAAGATTTTTTACTATTGAATAATTTTTTTTTTTCTCCCAAATAATACTAAAATCAAATTTTAATTCAATTCTATATTACGGCTAAAAATAGTTTTATAGTTAAAATATTGTATCAATACATATTAATATCTTATTAAACATTTATTAAACTTAAAATTTTACTATTAAAAATCCAAACCCAATATTTAAACGCTCTAAAAAACTTGTCAAATGCACACACCATAAAGTGTTAGTTGGTATTTGTTATTTTAGTTTTGAATTTTTATTTAAATAATAAAGTAGATATGATAATTTATATGACAAATAATATTTTTATGAATATATATATATATATATATATATATTAACTTGTAGTTGCTAGCCAAGTACTATGTCGATTTGGCCACCTATTGCATACAACATTATTGTTTATTTTTTAACAATATCAAAAGATTGACCTGTATTTTAAATACGGGTATAATTGTAAAAAATAGTGTCAGGTCACACAAGACAACAATATTAATACTACGAAGTTGGGACAGCAATAATAATAATAATAATAATAATAATAATAATAATAATAATAATAATAATAATAATTAAAAAAAAAACATTGAAATATTTTTATACATGATTAAATTTATGTAGGACAAATCCATATGTGACACCTCAATGCATCAACAATCATTATTGTGTCACATGTGGGCTTCGAGTTTTGCAACATTATTAATTAATTTCAAATTAACAAATAATACAAAGAGCTAATTTATAAATTCAATGGAAAATTTTTAAAAACAAAATAGAAAGGGCTCCCCAAATAAAATCACAATTCCCATACCCATAAAACAAACTTTGTTTAATTAAAATTTGATTTAGTATTTTAGTTTAAATAGTAGCTTAAATATAATATTATTAGTAATTAAAAAACAATATATTTTATGAAAAATTTATATAAAACATAGTAAATGTTAATTTACCATTTCATCTTCAATATGGTATCAGAACCAAAACGCCGTGGCGTTCAAATTCCATTGTTATCTATTTTTTATTGTTCAATTGTAAAATTCATATGAATGTATTTAGAATTGAGACTAATAATTAATTGATGCTACATTCCTAAGATTATAAACAGAAGAGATAATTAATGTGCACTCAAGAACCAAAATTAAGTTTAATTTGTCCTGTTTTGTTTTGTTTTATTTTTGTTTTGGAACGAAATGAAACTTCTATATATATATATATATATATTCTTAAAAATTTGACATCATTCATTGTCAATAATAAATTTTTGAATATATTATAATTAAATACTTAATTTTTTGTTTATCATTTTTGAAAAAAAATAGTATTTATTTCAAAAAGTTGTACTCCCATTGTCCTAAACACCGTGCAACATTTGTGTTTGGCATAGAAATTTAGGTGGGAAGTATTAAATATAGTAATTTGAGATAATTTGGATATTAAGTGACGTGATTGGAGAGAGAAATGATTATTTGTTTTTTTTTTTATATGAGTGATGTGATGAGATAAAGTGAAGTGTATATAATATATGTATAAAAATATTATTAATTATTTCTAAATTTGGAAATATTACATCGAGTTTAGAACAAAAAAAAAAAAAATATTGCAGGATGTTTGGGACAGAGAAATATTTAATTGGAGGCCGAGAAAAGTGTATATAGATGGAGGAGGGGGGCCAGGTGAGGTCACATGCAAGAAAAGGGTATTGGACAATTTCGAAGGTTCAAGATTATTGGTTCTTGGGGATGTGTACAAAATCTCGTGACAGAAATGGGGTCATAGAAGTTGACACTTGTTTAACGGCAACAATTTATTTATTTTTAAATGTGAAAAAATAAGTTATGTATGATAGATAAAACCTGAAAGTATCAGAGTTTGAAATTATAAACAGTTGGCATGATTCGCTTAAATAAATAAATGAAAGTAACACATATCATTTTTACATATAAAAAAATACGACAAGTTAGGTCCAATAGTCAAATATTTGGAGGGAGATCCTACCATGCTAAATTTTGGGATATTGTGGTCTCTAATTAATTGAATCTTATTCATATATGAAATATTTTCTTTATTTATTTGTTAGTAAGAGTCAATATTGTCATTTTAATTTCTAAAGTTATATAATCAAGTTTCTGTTTGTGTATGTTTGTGCTGAGAATGAATAAATTTAGTAGTCTATGTACGTGGCGCCTACTATAGTTAATTCCCTTGTGAGTTATGAGGAAAAATACTTCAAAGGCTGTTTTTATTTGTTTTTGTTGGGGGATTGAATTTTAAATATACTATTCATCCTAATTTTTTTTTCAAAAATATCAAATTAAATATTTAATTTTTATTTTTTATATTATACTAAAAATCAATTTCACATTCAAAATATCATATCTACACCTATTTATATCACATCATACAACTATTTAAATTCAAAATTTTTATTATTCAAATCTCAACTCAAAATCCAAACTTCCAAACAAACACACCCTTAGTTTATTTTTTATTTAAAATTTAAAAATTAATAATCTTTTATATTAAAAAATAGTTATGTGGAATGGAGTGAGAAAAATACTATTCTGTCATTAAATTTTTAATATATATCCTTCAATATTATATCTATTTATAATATTGTTATAACTACTTATACATTCAGTTTATTAAAATTTTTCTCTTACATCATTAATTTATTCATATATAATTTTTCACAATAATTAAATTTTATATCATAATCAATCAATATAATATTATATTTATTAAAATTTGTGTCTAATCCAAACTAACTTATAATTGGTCGACTGAGGAGTAATTAATTTATATCCACAAGATTGAAGATCTACATCCAACGGTCAGGATCAACTTGCTCTCGGATGGTAGGCTAGGTTACAATATTGGGCCTCCCGATGTGGACTTCCATGAGCCTCTACTTTGGTGATCATGGGCCATATATACTTATACATTTACTATAAAATTAAAATAGATTTTGTTCTTTTTTTTATTTTAAACTAAAATTAATATTACGTACAATTTTAAATAAATACACTATATAATCTCACAAAACTCATTAAAACACTAATTAAACAAAAATTCAAATTAATATTCTATTTAAATTACAATCAAATAAACTTATATTTTCTCTGTAGACTTTATAAGTATATATTTATTTTTTATATGAAATTTAATAAAAATATTGTATGGTGATAGTTTCGTATGTAAGCACTATTTCACTGTTATGATATGTAAAATTATTGTGAGAGTATTGATGTAAATAAATATAAATATAAGAATATTTGTAATAAAAGTGAGATTGATATTTACTATGTATATATATAAAAATGTTACTTTTTGTTTAGCTAAACAAAATAAAAAAATAATAATAATAAGAAAAGAAAAATATATACTTTCACGAGGACAAATTAAGTAAAATATACAAAATGTTAAATTTCAATCAATATCTAATCTATTTAGTTTATTGAAAAAAAAAAGGACTTCTTGTAAAAATCAACTTGCATTGAGTAAACTTTGATCGTGGCATCATATATTCAAATATTTTGATGTTACTTAAAATAAAAGGTCTGTCACTATACTAATAAACTATTCTCTCCATCTCAAATACTGTACAATATTTTTTTTTTGCTATGTCCCAAATAACTTGCAACATTTCTAAAATATGAAATAATTAATTATAAATCTCTACCTCATATTTTATCCCATCACATCACCCAAATAAAAAAATAAAATATACATTTATCTCTCGTCACATCACCTAATTTCTAAATTATCCTACTTACTACTATCTACCTAAAAATCCGTGAGTATTTTATTTTATCTTACAGTAGTTTCATTCAATTTGGGGATAACCTAAAAAAATGTCTAACCTGATTTCTGCAATTTCAGGACATATCTAAATTACATGGAATCCACCAATTCCTCAACGGTTGATCAAAGTCTATTTCCATAGTATATTATTCATTCTAAGTCAAGGTAATAAACGTGTGGGGGAAAGTTGAAAGTGAAAGCATAGAAGTGTAAATCTGTGTATCAAAGGCTAAAATCATAGCGCATCAATTTAAGAATGATATGAATTACGATTTCTAAGAATGATATGAATTACGATTTCCGCGTACCGTGTTTCGATATGGTGTTGATCCAACGGTGATATGTTGATCTCTGCCCTCAGGAAGGTATCTGGAACCTTCCAGTGCCGACAATCACACCGCCATTTCCGTTCGGTGTCGTGTTGAAGCTTGAACTCAGTCAGTTCTGCTAATTCAGGAAAACAGATGTAGTCCTCAGTTACAGCGACGTGTTGAACGACTAATATTCAACACTTGACTCTTCAAGGATATATATATATATATATATATACGAGATGCAGCAGCGTGATAATCATCAATTTCACTTCGAAGTTGTCACAAAATAATTTAGCCAGTGCTTTTTCGCATACCTGCGTAATCAAATCATGTATTCTTCAAGTTCAACCGATTACCAGAAGTTCTATGAGCCAGCCGCGACTCCGCCGCCGGTGGCAGGAGTTCCGGTCTTTAAATCATCGGAGTTAACAGCTCCTCCTGTTCCGAAATCATCTCAGGCGGCTACTTGGTCCTCCGGTCTATTCGATTGTTTCTCCGATATGAAAAGCTGTACGTTTCTCCATTGCTAAAGCTAAATTTCCGTTTAATCGATCAATCAGCAATTCAGCATTCAACGATATTTCTAGCTTCAATTTTTCGCTAAACTTGTTAAATTAATCCGTGCTCCGCAGCTCCATCTATCCATAAGCACTCAACGTCTCGCGCAGCTTAAATTTCTTCTTAACTCCTTCAATTAATCCTCGATCTGTTTTCCGTCCAGGTTGCATCACTTTCTGGTGTCCGTGCATCACCTTCGCTCAAATTTCTGAGATCGTGGACAAAGGAGTAACCAGTGAGTATTTTACACACAGTTTGGTAATCAAACCACGCAATCAAAGCAGTTATCCTCTCCAACAACAAATTATTAACAACTGATAAATTCGAATTTCACCTGCAGCGCGTCTGATGAACGGACTAGTCTACACTATCGCACTCCTGGCCGGTTGCCCTTGCTGCTACTCGTGCTTCTACCGGGAAAAATTGCGGAAGCAGTACGGTCTGCAGGAATCGCCGTGCGGAGACTTCATGGTGCACTGCTGCTGCGAATCCTGTGCCCTCTGTCAGGAGTATAGGGAGCTCAAAAATCGTGGATTCGACATGTCTATCGGTACGTCTATTCTTTACATTTATATACGTACGCATTCACGTGACAAATACGTGCAAAAATAATTTTATTTTATTTTTTTATTGTAGGGTGGCATGAAAATATGGAGGTGAATAAAGAGGTGGTGATGGCGCCAGTAGTTGAAGGAGGAATGACGCGATAAATATTTTTTTATTATTATTAAATATATATTTAGGGTTTGTTTTTTTGAGGTAGTTTGAGAAACTTGGTTTGCTTTTAGATTGAATTTGAATTTTATGTAGTTTGAATTTTTGTGTTCTTTTAAATCTGTAGGTTTGGTTTATGTTTTGAGATTTTGATACGTGTTAACGTGATAGTTAATAAAAATAATAATGTAAATATATATTAAATTAAATTTATAAAATTATTAATAGTGTAATTTGAGTATTAATTTATATATAAATTATTTTTTATTTATTTGTATTAAATAAAATTTTATTATATACAAAATAATATTGTCTCTCGAAAGATTTTTTATTTTTTTTATTTTTGTCCGTTTTAAAATAATTTAATTATACTATATATCTAATATAATAAATAAATTTTCAACTTACAATATATTACACAAATATAGTTACTTTTATATTACACTATACTAATATGAATATTTGTCTTTTTTCTTTTTTTCTTTTTTTTTTTTTACTGCAATCCAATATAATACTAATATTTAAAAATTTATGTGCAAAAAACAAATACCACCCTTCCAATGTGAGTATATATTTTATTAAATTATACAGTAATAATTAACATGATCAAATAATTAATTTATCATATTTTTGCACGATCGTGCAAATTATTTTATAAATTAAAAAAAAAAGAAAAAGAAAAAAGAAACACACCGGAGAACCTAGGGTGTGTTTCTTATGTTGGGTTTGGGAAGATTGAGTTTGTGTTTGGTTTGGATTTGAACTTTTTAGAAGTTTTGGGAATCTGCGTTTCTTTGGTGTAGTAGGTTTTGTTGGGGTTTGGGGAGTTTTATTAAATAATGATTTGATAGGTGATGATTGGAGTGATGAGATTTTTAATTTAATTAAAAATAATTTATATTAAATATAAAAGTAATGGAATATATAGAAAGAGTGATTTTTTTTTTCATTTATTATTATTTTTTTCATCCGTAATTAAAAAAAATAAAAATAAAATTCGGATCTACTTCTAAGTCTTGCTTACAGCTACATACAGAAGAATAAAGAAGAATAAGCGTGTGCACGGCTATGCATTTGTTCGGAAACAACACTAAATGCGGCAGACAGGGAAATGCAACCACATTTGCACGGCGATGGTCGATTGTTATTTGTTGTGTGCTTCACGTAACACCAAAAACAGCATAATAGAATCAATCAAGCAAGGTCGTGCTCATTCCGTATAAGTGGTTGCTTCCCGTAGAAATTGAAGCAGAAAAATAGACCTAAGTGCACGGCCGTGCACAACTATCCATATTCTTCTGGCTCCCATATGAAACCTTTAGCGAAGAATGAAGGCAACGTCGGATTGATGTGTACAATAGTCCTATCACAGATTTATCAAAAATTGCATGAATTTACGAAATGGATTAACCAATTAATCCCAAATTGAAATGTAGTTCGACTTTCCTTACTTCTTTACGCTCAACCGCCGAAAACTCTATCCCCCGTCAACGTGCGTCCCCCGAAATCCTTCGCGGCAATCCTTTGCTTCACTCGCCGACGAAATCACTAAATCCCAGGATCTTTGCTCTGCAATGAAGGGGGTGAAGGAAATTTGGGAGAAAAATTAAAAGCACGAATGGAAGATGAGAAATAATGGAGGAGAGAGAAGAAGCAGAGTAATGAACAGAAGATATAATGGTAAAGGAGAGAGATATAAGTGTAGTCAATGCCTATAAAGCTACGTTGCATATTTTGTTCTCCTATGTCTGCCTCGCGCCAAATTAATATTCTACAGTAAATGAATAGGAAGTTTGGGAAGAATTGTACCAAAGAAACACACCCCTAAAGTATCTCCACAGTAGGTTTGGTCAAACCGGATATGAAGAAACACACCCTTACATAATTGTGAAGGAGAGATGATTGAAAGGTCATGGGTGTAAACCCGATGCCTCAGGTCACCTGCCACACATGGTTCGCTTATTGTGACTTTTCCGTTGGATCTGGTTTGCAGGGTACTAGGTTCGGCCGAGGGTTGCAATTTCAGTTAGCGACTGCGGATTCCCACGTCATATAAAAAAAAAAAAAAAAAAAAAAAGGAGATTGAAATTTAGAAATTTATGTGACATTAATAATGTGTTATTTGAAGTTATTCTTTGGGTTGACAATATATATGAAATTAGTATTGCTCCTTCCGTTTTGTCTGATTCATTTTTATTTTTATTTTTGTTCATTCTATAAGGAATATAGGAAATACCTATTTGCATAATAGAATGATACTGTATTATTATTATTATTGACTAGTTGCTTGCAACCTAAGACAAATCAAACAATTCATTCCCTTCCGATCGACTTTCTCGTAATTTCGCAATGACCATATTTGTGCTCACATTTATTTTCAGATTATTATAATTTACAATTTTAAATATATATATATATATATATATTACATTCAACATTCATTTCTTCAAAATATTACATGTAAAGCTTATTTGATTTAATATTTATTTTTAAATAAAAAAATAGCTCAAAACACAAACAAATACAAACCTTAAGTCCTTAACCCAATGAAAAGAATTATACATATTGTGAGTCAATATTGTGTAGATAGCACATGAATTCATATAATTTATATTAATATTAATATTAATATAATATAAATGCATTATATAAAGGCAATTGTCCACAAAATGTATATTATTATTGATTCCAGTATAAAATATATTTTTATGCGCATGATTTTTATTATTTATCATATGATTAATAAAAAAAGATATAGAAAAAGTGATACATTTTTACTTCAAAAAAAAAAAAAGATTTAAAAATTAAAAATAAATTTAGATGAGAGTATAACATTTAGAAAGATGTTGATCAATTATTCAAACAAACTTCCAAATAGGTCAGATGAAAATCTAACATAAATACAATAAAAAAGTTGTAGAAAACTCCTAATCCCGATCGATGAAATTGTCTCTGTTCTCAGCCGTTTCTTCTTTGTTCATCTTCTGGTTTCCATTTTCGATCTCTGCAGAAACAAATCCTAAACAATATTGTAATCAACTTTGGTACCTAAGGCTAACCTCGAGATAAGCATTCTCTTCCTTTCATTTGATTAATCAGTAATGGCGATTGGCTTTGGTTGTTTGAGCCCCTGCAGAATAGCGCACTTTGCGGTGCTTCTTCCGGAATCGCCTGCTGGGGACTGCTTGCTGCATTGTTTCTGAGCACAGATCTCTAGGAGTTTCCATGGTGAGTATATATTTCCATTTCCATTTCCATTTCGTTTTCATTATTAAATTCTCGAGTCCAAAAATTGGAAGAAAGAAGAATCTCTGTGCAAAGTGAGATGGCCCACGGAAGAAGGTGGAGCAACTTTATTCAACCGTGATTGTCGATACTTTTGTCGCTCAATCTTTTTCTCATTTCCAGTTTTCTCCTTATCTGTTTCAGTTCATATGCTTCTTTGTTTTGCTGTTTCTGAAATGTGCATTTGTGTAATTGTATCATCCCTACAGCATAACAATAATCCATTGTCAACAGCATCACAATTTCATTGCCTTTGCCCCCAAACATGATCTGAAAAGCTCCTCAAAAGCACCAAATTACACTAGCGACTACAAACCTCATTCCTTTCGAGATTCCTGTCTCATTTCTTTCTCTCTCTATCTCTCTCACTTCTAATTTTATGATCATCAGGTGATGAAGAAAGGATTGGCGTCTGAATCTGGTTTTTGTGAAATGGAGGGGTCTTCTGCAGAAGAAGAGCTGGAGAGAAGGAGCAAGTTCCTGCACAGCTTAATACAGAAGAAGAAGAAGGATAAGAACGACGTCGTAGTGGTGGAGCAGAAACAGCAGCAGCAGCAGCAGCTCAGTGACGATGTTCTGAAGAAGATACGTGTTAGAGCCTCGGATATGCCTCTTCCCTTGCAGAACCACGCCTTCAAAATTTCCAGAGCCCTTCTTGACTCCATGGCTTCTCCCAAGGTCGACAGCAAACGCCTCGCTCTCTCACTCAAGAAGGTACAATACAAATACAAATACAAATACACAAACAACATAAACATTTCACATAATCATATATGTCTGATTGAAGGATGTGTTTATGGAGGTTCTAGCAAAACTTTCTCATGGGAGTTGTTTTCTTGGCTGTTTGACCCTTGTTTTGTCCACATCTGACCGTATTTCTTGAAACTCTAAGTTCTGAATTCAAATTGGTAGTTTCTTGGGGATGATAATATATATATATATATGTATATTGATGGCAGGAGTTCGACTCTACGTACGGACCCGCGTGGCATTGCATAGTGGGGACGAGCTTCGGGTCTTACGTGACGCATTCGCTGGGTGGATTCTTGTACTTCTCCATCGACAAGGTTTATGTTCTTCTCTTCAAGACTGCTGTTCAGCCTTTATAGTTGGATCAATTGTGATCATATTCTGCCCATTCACCATCAATCTTGTGCTATATCTGTTTTCTGGAATGCAAAATCGATGGTCCATTCATGGTGATTGGTTTTGGACGGGACCGTAGATTTTTTTTTTTAATCATTTTTATGTTGGTTGGGGAAGAAAGAATCTTAGGAAGAAGATTTCGAAAAGAAACAAATGAATGTTACTTTTGACTTTGTCTTTGAATGCTAACATGGTGTTTTTTATGACATGTCTCTATCCCTATCAGTTAGTAGTATTGTTATAAGATTTCGTATCCATATTCTCAGCCACAACTAGCACTATCCCTTCAAAGGGAATAGGTATTCATCCATGGCAGGCTGTAGAGATCATTTCCAGAATTCATCACCATCACCACCAAATGAAGCCCTCTTCTTTGTTCTGCCATATCTCCCCCTCTTTGAGCTTCTTGCCATGTCTCAAGTCTGCAAATCACTGAGGTATGCCGTGGCCACTGATCTTCTCCCATGGCTGGAAATTGTCGTCTGCTGGCCTCTCAATCTGCGTATCTCCGATGACATCCTCGCCGGAATTGCCTCCAGAGCCGGTGGCAAGCTGAAAACTCTTGCCCTCATTGGATGCACCAGGATCACAGATGATGGACTTCTCAGGGTTGTAGCTCAAAATCCCTCAATCACTAAGGTACATACATACATATATATGTATATATATATAATATCTACGATGAGGGAGAGGTTACGTGCTAACGGTAATAAATTAGCATGGTGTTGATTTAATCTGCACCACATAATAAATAAGAAGTATCATATGATTTCAATTAACATAACAAATATTTATAGATGTGCTATATGGACATATTTCGTATGTTGAGATTAATAATAGTACGCCCCATATTGCGACTGTTGTATCGTGTGTTGTCAATATTGCGTCGATATATAAAATTCAGCATAGTAACTCCAGTCCTACGGTGCTGTTTGGGAAAATGTCTGCATGCTATTTTAAATAAAAACATATACTATCATTTTATACTTATAGGTATGATGTATTAATATTTTTATTTGTTAAAATCAATAGTAGCGTGTGTTATGCAAGAATATATCGTTTGTGTTGTCAGTGTATATGCTCTATTTGTATTAACTTGTTTTTCACGATGATTCTGTGCTATCACAGCTACTTCTCCCGGGGTGCACGAGATTATCGCCTGCCGGAGTCATTACAGCCGCGAAGCTACTGGCCGGAAACAGCCACAAATTAACCACCCTCGCCATCAATGGCATCTACGATATTCAAAGGGACGACCTCGACACCCTTCGCAGCCTCATCAAACCAGACAATGAAAACCAGAAGACACTATACCACAAGTACAAGCAGTCATCCTTGATCCTTCCATCGACTGATCGCGCAATAGATGTCGACGTTTGTCCTAAGTGCAACCAAGCGAGAATGGTGTTCGACTGTCCTAAAACCCCTTGCCCGAAGCGGCAGCAATTTAAATGCAGAGGATGTGAAACGTGCACGGCGCGCTGTGTGGAATGCGGTGTTTGCATAACAGCCTCGGAGGAACCTGAAGAGGCTGCGTGCAACGACACACTCTGCTTGGATTGCTGGCTGCAGCTGCCCAAATGCAGTTTCTGCAATAAGCCGTACTGCACCCAGCACGCCGATCAGCAGCAGAATGTCGCCGGTTCTTCAGGGTTCCTATGCGACGCTTGCCACGCCGAATTCTTTTGAATGTCGGAGAAGACGACAGAAATCATTGGGTGCATCTCTTTTTTTACAGAATGCGTCGAGTTTTATCAAAATCGGGTGCATCCAACATGTCCGAGAACTCAAAGAGGACAGAATGTGCGGATCGACTGGCCAAGCGCCGAGTCATTCGCAAAGGTACCGTGTATTTATTACCAGATATCGTAATTATACTGCATAGAATCGAAGTATAGTAACAAGATAGTCGATCGATACCTTGTAGGAAGACGCAAGAACCGTAACCTGCAGCCGGAGAAAGAGTTACCGGAACAAACTTGGATTCGTAGTCGAGATTGCGGCCACACTGTTGAAGTCGCAGGTTCCATCTCCCATCGCCATCCGCTGATAATAAGCGTTGAACGCGTACGAGGCGTGTCCCAGGATGCTATCCCGTTCGTAACACGGTTTGCCCTGCATGAGCAAAGAGCAGTCGACTTTCCCAGGCCCGCACGCCCAGTCGAGCGCCACGTGTAACATCCTCTTGTCCGCTCCGTCCCTTGCAACGCAGTAAGTCTCATTCGCAGTATCGCTCGCCAAGACGGTCCCGGAATCCGTCAAGTGCAGAGCATACACCGCCGTGCCATCCACGTCGAACAGCCCCCAATTCTTCCCGGAAACGGTCCCTGGCTTCACGTCCTCGTTGTAAAGCTCATAAATGTATGTAACGACGGAAAATCGAGGATGCTTCGGAGTACTTAGCCTTGACATAGTTGAAATACGGGTAGACGTTTAGCATGAGATTCGATCCGATCGAGTCGAGTCGAGTCGAGGAACTCTAGCATCGGCGCCACGAAAGGCTGCAAAGTTTAAAGAACGCTCGCCACGGCGGGAACGATATTTTATTTTCTAGACAAAATAGCATAAAATCCCCTGGTGGTTTTCCAAATTCTCTGAAAATCACCTTTGGTTTTAAAATTTCATATTATCTACTCGTGATTTCGAAAATATTGCAAAAAACACCCCTACCGTTAATATTTAACAGCAATTGTACTGCACGCGTGTGTGTATTCTTGGAAATTCTCTCCTGCTCTCATTCGCTTTCTTTTTCTTCGATAAAAGTCCAATAAGAATAGGGCAGCACTCCGGCAAGACACACCTCTGCAATAATGGTAGTCGACAATTCCTAAATCTTCGCAATAAACAACGGATTTGGGTGAACTCGAATGGAGAAAAATAGTAAGAAAATCAATCTACTCTGTAAACCTTCAAATTGAAATTTTTATTTGAGAAAAGTGACGAAAGAAAAATGCCTGAAATATTAAGAAATGTGGTGTTGGTATTGGCCGACGGATAAAAATGGTGGAGCAAATATGAATTTTTTTTCTTGTACAATAAATATATTTTTTTGTATGCACAGTCACTCGTTTATTTATATATGAATCAGACATATTTTTTTCAAAATTGCTCGATTAGGCATTTTTTTTAAGATTTGGGTTAAACTTTAAAATCCCCAAATTTAAATGGGCAAGGATTTTAATCCATCTATGAATCTAACAAACATAATCAATCATTAATCCCCTAAACTGAAATGAATTTTCAAGAAATAGAAGTGAAAAAAAAAAAAAAAATTGAGAAAAATAAAGAAAAAAGAAGAAGTAAAAGGAAGAACAGTAAGCTGGCAGGGGAAGAAGAAATAAGAAGATAGGAGAAGAATATGTATGTATGTATATATGTTTATGTGTGAAAAAAAAAAAAGAAGAAACAGAGACAGAAAAAAAAAAAGAAGAAAGAGGAAGAAAATAGGTGGAGTGCGAATGTATGTTTGTGTAATGTGTGTCTGGGTTTATGTATGTGTATATGTATGTATAATGAAAAAAATATTAGTCAAAGATAGAATAAGTGATCAAAAGTAATAAATACAGGGGTATAATGGTCCAACAAGGTAAAAAATTAACACGGTTAGTCCATTTTTTAAGGAAGAGACGAGTGTGCAATATTTTAAAAACCACAAGTAAGTTTTATACAATTTTAAAATCAGAGGGAATTCGAGAAATCACAGGGGATTTTTTTACTATTTTACATATTTTTTATGAAGTAACATTTACATTAAATATATTTTATTAAAGTATATTTTTTAAGAAATTCACATATATTTTTAATCAAATACTACTATATATATTGTACCGTAATTTAATATACCATCCAACAACATCTCATCAATCAATAACTTACATGTAATTAATTTGTGTCATAATAACTACAAAGAAATATTCGACCCACCCCACCATTTATTTGCAACAACATACCCTCAGACATATGTAACATGTGGAGATTACATGTGGTCCCTAAAATCAATAATGCTGCTTTCATTTTTATTCACTAAATTGGCATCAACCAATACAGCCTCTCATATTTGGATATGGACACACAAACATGCTTATATACATGGCGATTGTTCACCATAGATAGTGTAATAGTAATAATAGTAATTATAGTGCCGATAACACACTAATATATACCAAACATCATGTTAGATAAAAATTAAAATAGATCTGACAGAACATACTAATACTTTATATATATCATGTGTTAGTTTTTAATATAATACACATGCAATCTATGAACAAATAGCACATAAAAATTGTCCATAAATCATATATTATAATTGAATTCAACAAATAAAATTAATATTTAAAACTATCACATTTAAAAGATAAACCGACAACACAGTGTAATAATCGCATATGTTGTATTCATTCAAGCTATATGCTGACAATTCATATATTTGATGTGTTGTCAGCACAATACTGATTAATTTAAATCAGTAGTTAGGATATTTTAGGAGTCTTGCTTAGAATAAATTTCATTGGAGTTCTAGAAAGTAACGACAAAAATTAAAAATGCTTACAGGTTTCATGGTAGAACGAGAATCTCGTAGGAGATCTCACATGTTAAGGATGGAGGCATAGTCGGGAGCCATGGTCGTCGGCTCCGGAAGTAGCGCAATCCGATGCCGTTGCTGCCACTTTGTATGGTGCTGCATTCATAAGCCTGCAGCATCTAGAAGTTCCTTAATGGTGTAAAAAAACTTTCTATTTTAAATCATGTGGACCTTACAAAAAAATTAAAGATCTATTTTTGGTGGATTTGGATGATTTGAAACATCTTTTTTAGATTAATCACCACGTGAAAATAATATTTATCGACATTTTTTTTTTTGTAAAGGAGTCCCCACAATGCATAATGTGCTCCTAAATTTTCTGAAATTCATTAATGAGACAATAATAGCCATTTAACTATTCTCTACTAAAAGTCGAAAAAATCAAACATCTATATTACCTTTCCCTACGCTTCGCCAAAAATCGAGCAAGGGAAGCTCTGTGTGCTTGTGGAATAGCTGCAGAAAAGAAAAAATAGAAATAAAAATACATATTGTCTTACTGTGAACAAGATGATAATGTAACACTACATATAAGAATGGTTTCCAAATTGGCATGGGAATGAATACCAGATGATATAAGTTTTGGTTGAGCCATTTTAGATTGAACACAATCATTCCCAGCTAGATATGCAATGGCCTGAGCCTACATAAAAACAAATAAATAATAAAATATCAGCATCTGATAGATTGAGCAAAGAATGTCAAAGACGCTGCACCTTATCTGGAGAGATGTCATTGAAGACGGTAACCCTTCCACCATAAAAAATGGTTAGGTGAGTCGATGTTTTAGAATTAATCCTACATAAAGATAACAATTAAAAAAGATGTTCTGAAAAATTATTCAAAACATGTATACTATTTCTCACCATGGAACCAGAGGTGGATGAGAAGTTGCAATAGGATTTCCATTAGGATTGCATTGCTTCAAATTAGCAAAAAGATGAATTATAAGTCTTGATAAAATTGGAAGTTGTCAAATGTGAATTTGCATTAATTTGAGCAAAGGATGTGTTAAAATAGTAAAATGCAAGCTCATATATGTATATATATACATATGTATTGATGCATATGTAATTAGCAAGTGTTGAAAGATCGATCAAAACCATTTTTGAGATATTCTTATTGCAATCAAATATATTCAACAAACATAACATAGGAAGAACATAAAATAATTCATGCATTCAAATAATATATTAAGTTAAAAATAAGACATTCAGAATGCTCAACACTGCAATCCACTGCTACTTAGAGAAAGGATCAGAAACTAACCAGGAAATCAGCCAATTGTTGTTGTTCATGCTTGGGTACAGATTTCTCCGAAGCATATTTCACCATCAATCCTTGAAATGAAGGAAGATCAGAATCTATTTTTGACTGATTTTGCTAAAATAAAATCTCATTTCATATCACATTCTGAGGAATTAAATATGCTCCAAACAATTGGAAATTCCGATTTCCAAACCTTTAAATATAAAATTCCTTTACGACACACAAATTTATAAAGAGGTGGAAATAATCTGAACTACAGATTAAGCATAATGAAAACATCAGCAGCACTTCTATAGAACTGAAAAAATGCAGCTTCTAAAAACGAAAAAAGCACCGTACAAAAAGACCATAGAATCGAATAATATTTTCATTCCCAAATTGAATGGCACATACAATAACCAGCAGATTCTCAGCCAAAAACACCATTGTTTGACATCACAGCAAGCAAAAAGAAATTCAACGTAAAGAGACTTTAAACAGCAAACACACCGGCGTCTCCGTAGTTTCCGTCGACAAAATCTTCCTTCACAATAACAGAATCCTTTGCACTCAACCCTACGAAACCTCTCTCCATCTCCAAATCTAAAACAAACAACCAAAAAAACACAGTTATCAGTAATTGAAGAAGCCACTAAACAATATGGATGGAAAATGTTACAAAAGGTGTATGTACAGCCTCAAGTAGAAGGCAGAGAGCCTGAGCCGTTAACTTTGAAGCAAATTCTGCAAGCAGCTACGAAGGAGAAGAATCGATACTTCGTTTTATAGTTCAGACTTCAGCGTGCTCGGCAAGGGTGAGGCGTTTTTCGGAATTTTAAAATTTTATATATTTTTCAATAAAAATATTGTTAAAACGTACTAACTACTAATTGCTTACTTTGTGTTATTTCTTTGGCATCATTGGTCATAAATATTTATAAATTAAAAAAAAAAACAATAACATATATTTATATTATAGCATCAAATATGGCGTGTTCGTTTATAGGATTTTGTCAAAATTCCACTGTTCATCCAAAATTTTTTTTTCAAAAATATCAAATCAAACAATTATTTTTTATTTTTTTATTATACCAAAAATCAATTTTACATTCAAAACATCACATCAACACCTATTTATATCACATCGTACAACTATTCAAACACCTAAATGATTTTGAAGCCGGAAACTCAACTGGCCTAACCTAGTTTTAAAGCAAATACACTATTTTGTGAAATAATAAAAGTAATATAATGTACATAATATATTAATTTTTTTAAAAAAAAAAAAAAATTGTGTGAATTTGTTTTGCAAAAAATCACATCCAGAAATTCTTTTCAAGCCTGTTTTTATGGCCCAAGACTGGTAATATTTTTAATAGCTCGGGCTCATTAGTTATAAATAAAAATTAAAAATTAAATAAAATGTAACGTTAGACTATTAATGACAGCTCTAATTACGCAAACAATTTAAGCATGCATATGTAAACAGTAAAATTGTTATAAGACACAGAATAATCATCAAAAGAAAAAATGTGTCGTTAGCTTCATGTTCCCACAAATTGGATTAACGAAACTAACTGCCGGACAGGGCAAGATTGCAGACTACATTACAAACACAACCCAAAAGAATCATTTCAGCCGGCGCCGGATGGGATCAAACAAACTTACGATGATGACGACAACGAAGACGACGGAGGAGGAGGAACTGCGGTAGCAGAATCGAGGCTTTGAATGATTTCGAGGAGCTCGTTGCAAAGCCCCGTGAAAACAGCGTCATCCGTTTCGATAGGCTTGAACTTGACGAGGGCTGAAGGGACCAAATCCTCCTCCTCCAGCGTCACAGCCCTATGTCCGGTTGCCGGATAATGCGGGATCACACGCCGCTTGATCGGAATGGGATGCATCAGCTCGAACTCCAATCCCGGGTCTTTCAATGCACCGCTCACAAACTAGTCCAAAAAACAAGCCAAATCGCATTACATATATATATATATATGTATGTATGTATATGTATATAATGAAGGGGTTGGGGTTCGATCGGGACTAACCTCATAGAGAGCGCCGGTTGGCTCGGACGGAGAAAAGATGCCTTGAAGGACCGTATTGTCGGGGAACATGATCCTGATGACCGTTCGGTTATAACGTTTTCTAGCAGCTTTCGCTTGTTTTTCTCTGTATGATTTGGGGATTAGAAGCTTTGATTCCTCGAGTTTCTTCCTCCTGGATTCTGCTTCGCGTTTTACTTCTTCGGCCGAGAGGTTGTAAAAGGAATCAGGCAGCTCAATTTTTGCAGCCACACTCTCAGGTACAGAGTAAAAAACTCGAACCTAAGCACAAATTCCGGAAACAGAATAGTGAGCGAGAAATCATATTACGAATCAACGATCGATCTTATTTTTCCCTTTCACAGAAATCAAGAACTAAAACAAACTAAGACGATTAAGAAATCACATTAATTTCGCCTTCAACGCTCCAACAAGTCAACATAAAAATAGCTATAAATTGTCTAAATTGACTAGGCGATAATCTCACAAATTATATTACAATTCCTGACATAAAAAAACAACCAAGCTTCTCGTATAACATCCATGAAAAGATGTTCCAAAATGCATCAACAACAACTTCTGCATTATAATGTGTGTACATTATGATCAATAGGTTCTACAGAAGCACCATATTGCTATCGTCTACTGATTGCTCATAACATCTAACATCGAATGGAAACATTATAGTGACCCGAAAGTTTCTTATTACATTCACAGCAAGATGTTCCAAACTGTATTGTTAAATGATTATCTCCTCTAAAAGTTTAAATTTCAAGAGATGCATAATTAATTACTCCCTCCGTCCTCCAAACTTACTCTCACTTTTCTTTTTAGTCCGTCAGCTAATTTTGGCCATGTCAACAAATCAATATTTAATTATTATTCTCTATTCAATACTTATTTATAACAAATACCACTAACCTTATTACATTATCTTTTCATTTACTTTAATTTCTAACTAAATTTTCAAAAATATCCCTAACTACCAGAAATGCACTAATTTTAATGGACGAATGGAGTATTATATAGTCAACCAGAGGGCCCCTCACGCGCAATGTGGATTTACTTACGAATCTTGTCCGTAAAAACATTTGATACTATATTAAACACCCATTTCACCTAAAAGCTTTTAGCTTAAGGGGATACGTATAATCAATTATTATATAGTTAATCAACACATATTTCACGAGAAAGGTGGATTTACGTGTGCTTCGATAACAACTTCTAAATAATTAAGTTACCAATGATCAATGGATGCTACCGAATAAAGTAAATGCCGATCGATGAAAGATATAGGCGATGTAAGTTCACAAGTGCAATCAACTCATATATAGACGAAAATTAAGAACGAATCGGATGGAATACCTGTCTGTCCACAGGCTTTGGCACGACGGGCTCCCCTATCTTAACCAATGGCTCCTCTTGCTTTGAAGGCAACTCTTTAGCCTTCTTAGGTTCCAACATCGATACGGCATTCGACACCAAGCCAAGACATTCCTCAGAAGGATCATCCATGTTTAGAAACATCTCCCCATCCTCCTCCTTCAATCGAAATCCAATGCACTCTAGCAACTCCACGCCTCCCGGAACATCGACTATGGCCTCCTTTATCTTCGGATTCCCCATCCTTATCTTTCGAAACTTCGAATTCCCCGGCTCCTTGACCAGATTCCTCAGAAGCCTCATTACAACCTCAATGGAAGCCTCGCTAGGGTTTGAAGACAGATAAGTGTTCACACAACTCTGCAATTGGCTATCGACTTCGATGGTTATTTTGTTGTTGTCGGTTTCGGCAACTGAATCCGAAGAGGTCAAGCAGGATTCGACGTGAGCTGAAACCTCCTCTTCCGATGGGTATCCTTTGCCGCAAACTGGACACTCGAACACCTGTAATGAATAGCCTTTGGGATTCCTTTTACCTGATGTAATCAACGGATTGAATGGATCGAAGCCGCTCTCAGGCGACGCTGCGCTAGGGTTTGATTTGGATTCGGACTTTGTGGTCTGTGATTTCTGGTCGGAAGCGGCGGGTACCGTTCGAGGCAACTGCCTGGGGTTAGAATTGGAATTGGAATTGGCATTCGATTGCGATGACGGCAACGAGGAGGACGAAGAAGAAGATCCGAGAACTCTGCCTTGGCCTTTGAATTTGCCCGACGAGGAAGACGAGAAAGGGGTGTTGACTTTCTTCATAAACCCCTTCATTTTATCCCTCATTTCATCCATTGCTTGTCCGATTCGAGAAACGGGGATTAACGAATTCGAAGAAATTAAATCACCTGCAACCAAGCGACCAACGTGATTGATGCCCAAATTCTTAGGTTTTCGCGATCCTTCAATTCCGATGCGAAAAGTGGCAATTGACACTCAATCTGGTGTCGATTTGATTGGGGAGCAACGGAATTTGAGATGGATAAAGCTGGGAAGATAGAATCAACGGGAGGGTTGGAATTCCCGCACCAATCACCAATGTGAAGCGCGACTTGCAGAAAGGGTAAGAAGTCTGGAGAAGAAGGTGGGATAAAAAGACGAATTTTCCGTCTCTTTAGGGGCCGAAATAAGAATTATGAAAAATAAATAAATAAATAAACTCAGAAATATTGCAAAAAAAAAAAAAACGACAGAGAACAAGAGAATTCGTTATACTCAGAAGCGCGTTCTTTTAGGGTGTGTTTGTTCGGGAATTGGATTAGAACTTCACTATTTTATCTCTTTTTTTAAAAAAAAAAATATCATATTAAACACTTATTTTTTTTTATATTATATTAAAAATTAATTTTATATTCAAAATATTACATCAACACCTACACTTGTTTATATCACATCATATAATTATTCTAATACAAAATTTTTATTATTCAAATCCTAACTCAAAATCCAAACAACCAAACAAAAACTTATTAACTAATAATATCAAATTTAGTAAATATGTATACAAATAAAAATAATAATTGAAATTTGTTTGGGAAATTAAAATATCGTAGTATTGTTTTATTTAGTCATTTATTTCATTAATATTTAATATATTACATTAAAATTGCATATCAACAATGAATTATAAATTAAAGTGGTTAATACATAAAATAATAATAATAATAATAATCTCAATAAAATAATGACAAATAAATGTTCCCAAAGTCTTAAAAATCAATTTCCCATTTAATATTTCTTTGACAAGATATATCTTCGGCCAATAAGAATGAAAACTCAGTTGTTGACTTGCCAGGAAAAATACACAAGACCCGCGGTTGACTTGTTCATCCTATTAAATTTTACAATTTTTTTATAAAAAAATTAATATTTTCTTTTCACCAAATATTCCTTCAACCTTAAATAAATAGCTATAATTTTTCTATAATATTTCTATAAATTAAAATACTTTCTTCTTCGTCCCACTTAATATTTTTTAGTCTCACATTGTTATGCCAAATTTCTTTTTTGAAAAAATATTTTATCTTTTAATTATTTTTAAAAATTTTATTAAATTAATTAATTATTAACTTTAATTCATAATTATTTATATTAAGTTGTATAAGAGACAGACGGAGGAGTGATTTATTAACTACAAAAAACTCCCTCCCTCCCAGCATGGTGTAAAAAATGTCAAATTTTTTAAAATTTTACATTTTAATTATAATTTATAATTTTGTTTCTAATATTAATTAAACTAAATTAATTATTTACCACTTATATGCTTTAAATTTCTGTATCTATAGATAGAGTAATAAAAAAAAAAGATATATATAAATAAAAAGAGAGCAAAAAAGCAAAACAGGGGAACTAGGGTTATTACAAAAGAATAATAATACATCATCAAGAAACACTAAAAATGATTCCACAAACATAATTAAGCAGCGGCAGGTAATTCTAACCACAAATTTCCTCAATCCTTCTGACAACCTCCGCCATGGACGGCCGCCGGTCGGGGCTCCGACCAGTACACGCCACCGCCAAATGGACAAATTGGACAATGTCGTCGATCTCGTATTCGAATCGAACCAAACTAGGATCAATAATTTCATCTTTCCATTTCTCCGGCCCAACGGATTCCACCAAATTTGGTAGCTCGGTCCCTTCCTCCACCAGCGCCGTGTCCGGAGATTTTCCGGTAACCAATTCAAGGATCAAAACTCCAAATGCGTAGACATCGGCCTGTTGGGACATCCTCCGGGTATCGGACACCTCTGGCGCCCGATATCCGTTAAGGATTGAAATTGGCGAAACGAGCTGAGTCAAGCCGAATTCGGACACACGGGCATTGTAGTACTCTGTAAGGAAAATGTTTGACGACTTTATGTTGCCGTGAGATGTGGCGGCACCGCCGCTGATGGAGTGGAGATAGGCGATGCCACGTGCCGCCCCTAGAGCAATCTTGGCCCTGATTTTCCAGGACAATGGCTCTTCTTTCTCCCCTGTTTTTTTATTTATTACCAAGAATTAATACTTGAATGAAAAAATATATAAAATGAATTTTTTTTTTTAAATACTTCCTCTCTCTAATTTTGGGAGTATTATTTATCTTTTACATTATATTTAATATTAAAAATATTTTTATATTTATATAATTTTTTGCATAAAAATAATTTTACATTTTTCTCTTTAATTTTATTATATTTTTATAAAATAATTAATATTCAAAAATTTAACACGTCAAAAAACAACGAGACCACTGGTGTCGTATGGAAATAGTATATATTACTTAAAATTAATTTATATATGATTATTTAAAAATGGTGCAAGACTATCATAAGGTTCGTTATTTGATTTTTTTTTTGAAAAAATAAAATACATTTTTTTTTCTAATAAAAATATTATAATTATTATCTTAATGAAAAGTTCAAATATTCATTCAGCACACTTTTTCAATACAATGTGAAATTATGAACTGTGAGCAATTTTGGAAAATAAATAAATAAATTAAAGAATTAGAAGGGGTACAATTAGGGTTTTACGTACCATGGAGGTGTCGTGCCAGGCTGCCATTGGGCATCGGCTCGTAGAGAAGAAGCTTCTCGTCTCTGCCATAGAAGTAACCTCGAAGAGGCTCCAGATGATCGTGGACCAGTGCTCCGACTTCCTCGATTTTTGAACGGAAATTCTCCTCCGACAGGCTCACGAATTTCAGGCGTTTAACAATGACCTCGACGCCGCTGTCAAAATACGCCTTGTATGTCGACCCGACGGTGCCTTTTCCGATGACCTCCGCCGACGCCCGGAGAAGCTCCTCCAAGGTGAATACCTCCACGTCGTCGCCGAAGAATATCAGACCGTCGGTTGCGCGCTTTCTGATCGTCGGATTTGATTCTTCCTTGTGTAATTTCGCAGCGTCGTCGCTCGCCGGGGCGATTTGATCGGAAATTAAATTAGGGTTTTCAGGGTCGAGAATTTGGGGATTTTCTGGAGACGCCGGAGTTGGAGATGATCTTTGGGTTTGGGGTAGAATTTTTCGAGTTTTGAATTTCGACCACACGATGAATAGGATCACGAGGAGTATAATGAAGATTAGAAGTGATCCGATGGAAATTCCGGCGATCGCGCCGCCGGAAAGTTTACCTTCGCTTGCGGCGTCGCCACCGCCGCCTCCGGAATCGGCGCATGGAGCGCCGGGGCCGCCGCAGAGAGAGGTGCCGAGGAAAGACGACTGGTTGAAACGACGGCCTAATCCCGCCGGAATTTCTCCGGTCAGGGAATTAAAAGAAACGTTGAACTTCGTTAATTCCGGCAGGCGGTCCAGCTCCGGCACCGGTCCAGCGAAGGCGTTGTTCTGCAGATAAAGGTGTTTCAAATTACTCAGGCGGTTAAACTCCGGCGAGATGCTGCCGGAGAATCTGTTGTCAGCGAGATTGAGAAACGCCAGGTTTGTCAATCGGAAAATCCCGCCGGGGAGGTCGCCGGAGAATTGGTTCCCCTGGAGGTGGAGGGTTTGGAGCAGCGTCAGCGAGGCTAGGTCCGATGGGAGCTCGCCGGAGAGGGAATTCCGGCGGAGGCTGAGGACCCGGAGTTCGGTTAGGTTTCCGACGGTGTTCGGCGGGAGGCCCCCCGTCAGGCCGTCGCCGGGTAGGCGGAGCTCCGCCACGCGGTTGGTTGCGTTGTCGCATTCCACTCCCTCCCAAACACACGGCGCGGCGGCGCTGGCGGCGTTCCACGTGAGAGTGCGGCCGCGGACGGCGTCTCTCAGGCGGAGGAGGGCTGCGCGGTCGGCGGCGATGTCGGCGGCGATGGATCGGAGCAAAACGAAGGACACGAAGAGATGGAAACGAATCATTATTTGATCATTATTTTGTGGAAATTTGAAAAAATTTCGAGTGTTTTCATTTGATCATATAGTGACGGTCAATGGCTACCTTTTGGAGGTCGCTAAAATTCCCAAGGCACGGGAGTAGAACTCCAGATAGATCTCAGCCGTTAGATGAAATAATTCGACGGGTAAAGATCGATACGGCGTAGTGGAGCCGGGAGTTTGCGAAATTATACACATGTCTCTTTAGTTCCCGACGGGAATCAAAAGACTGCAAGAATTTGACGGCCATCGAGACACTTCTTGTGCCCTAAAATTTTGTTTATTTGTAAAAATCAATTCAGTTGACTGACTGGAAATGAATTTAAATAATTTTATATGTTATGAGGAAATTATCGTTGTTTCAAATTTATTTAATAGGACACACATGATATAAAAGCGATAATTAAATTAAATTAATATATATGGGACTATTATTATTTTAAATTATTAAAATTAGTGGAAGGCTGCCTGCCACTGAAAGACAAAGGTATAAATATAGTAATTAGGTAAAGAAACAAATTTCCCAATCGACAGTTGACGATAAAATAATTTATAAATGCTATTGTTATAGTTTTTCCGCGGGATTTTAATGATTAGTTAATGATACATATTCTTGGTGTGAATTATGTATGTATATATATATATATATTTATAGTATGTTGTATAATATCGAAAATCTATTTGAAAATACCATGGATGAATTGTGATATGATTGTAATTTTAAATAAAATATAAAGATTTTTTTAATTATTATTAAATTAGGAATATATATTAATTATGAACAATGATAGAAATTTTTTTAGATAGAAATTACAAAATATAGGTTAATATGGAAGACAAATAAAACTATATCAAGTAATAACATATAGCAAGAATTTATATAACACATAAAATTATCAATTTTATTAATTTTGTAGGTTTATTTAAACTATCTATTTTATGTTAGAATAATAATAATCACACATTAATATTAAATTATCCTTAGTTTTTATATAAATTTATAAATATATAATTACAAATATACATAAAATACAAACAATAAGTCCCATAAGGGATGACCTGGTGGCGTGGAGAGTAAACTCGTGACCCTGAGGTCAGGGTATTAGATTCGATCGAGGGTTTACTTATTTGTCTTTTTATTTATTTATTTATTTTTTTCAACACACTAACATTACACAATTTTCAGATAGATATATGTTTTGTATTTCTTTTTTCTTATAATATCACTTACTTCTTTTTCTATAAATATATTATATTTGATAATGATTTTATTTTAAACATTATATATATAAAAGCACAAGTAAGTAATTTAGATTACTTTTATTTATGCTTTTGCTTTTCAAACTTGTCCCCTCTTTAAAAATAAGGGTATGTTTGTTTGCATTTGACTTATATATTAGGTATATTGAGTCTCTTAAAAAGTAAATATTGATTAAAATGTTTTGTAATAAAAAATTAATTATTCAAAGAATGTTTTATTATAATTTGTAAGTAGACAGTGTAAGAATAATTTAGATAGTTTTTTAAATTGATTTTTCATCGTATGATTTTATTTGTAATGTTTTACAAATTAGTAAAAAAAATTATGTTATTCTATATAAGTAAGTAATTAACACTATAGTAACGGTTAGCTAAAAAAAATTATGTTATTCACACAATACTAAATTTTGAATTTCAACGACGTAATTATCGTTATCTATATATATATAGTATAATTACTATGGTAGTCAATTGCCCAAAAGAGGAGTTATCAATGTCCTAAACAACGAAACTTGACCACTTAGCCATCATTATCAACTAAAAATCCATGTTAGAAGAAATATTTTTGATCATGTTGCTACACATGACACATGTTGAGATACATTTTTTGTATTTTTATTGAGAATAATAATACATTATATTTATTAGATAATGTAAAATGGTATTCAAATTAAAATATATTTCGATTATTGTAAAACCCATATATAATAATCCTTTCGTCCCACATTGGATGTCTTAGTTACTGTATACACGGAAATTTAAATAAGTATAATTAGTAGATAATTAAGAATATATTAGTTAAAATAATTAACATGTACTTTAAATTATTATAGATTAAAAATTAATATAACTAATTAGTTTAATTAAAATTATAAAAAATTAAATTAGAAAAATTAAAATAAGATTAAGATGCTTAATCATTTTCTTTTAAAAAAATGACATGAGATGTTGGACGAACAGAAACGACAATATAGACATCGTACGTAGAACAGAGGGATTAAGAAATGTGTATAGAAATAAATTAATAAAAATATTTTACTGAGTATTATTTTTAATACATAAATATTTTTCTTTTATGTTACAAAATTAATATATGAATAATTAATAAAAATTTTGATATTTTCAATCACTTTTGATTTTATTTATGATTATGCATTAATATAATTTTAAGTTAGTTATGATGATGCTAGCAATTGATAGACCTTTTCGGACTCATCTATACACATTTTCTATAGCATATAGTTACTCTCTCTTCCAATTCAAAATATTATTTTTATTATTTTTATTCGTCGCAATTTAAAGTATGCATTTCTTATTTTAGTAAAAGTATTCCTATACTAATATCAAAATACGCTTAAGTTTTATATACATTACAAATATATCATTATACATATAATTAATTTATACATAAAGTCAAAGGGTAAACATATTAAAAAAACCTCTACATATTTTTACTAATTAATAAAATATTACTTCCTCCGTTTCATATCTATCTATCTATTTGCTTTTTTGCACGAAATTTTAGAAATATTAGTACTATATTGGGATGTAGTAAAAATAAAAGTAAAAAACCTAAACTAATCTTATTAGTATGGTATGATATAAATGTAATGACATTTGTGTAATACATTGTAAATTGAAAGAGTATTTGTAATGTTAGATAGATAAGAAAATGAATACTTTCTTATGGAACAGACCAAAATACAAAAATAGATAGATTGTTAAGGGACGAAGGAAGTATAATTTTCTTATCTACTACAAAATTTCAAATGGGACAAAAGGAGTAGCATTTTATGAAATAATATTAGCTTTTGTTTGTGAAAAATTAATATATTTAATTATTCTTTTGCACGTAAGATTTTTCTTTTAAAATTAATATTAATATACCATTTAAAACCAATTACAAATCATTTATACTCGTGTTTTAATATATTTTAATAAAATAATTCTATAATTTTTATTTTTTTTTAATTTGAGTATATATACTATGCAGCCCTTATCATACCTATAAAGAATACAGTTAACATTTAAAGACTGTTTAACAAAAATCTAAAATCAAAATACAAACTAAAAATTCAATATTTGTATAGACATTTTAGGTGCTATATAAATGTTACATAGGGTATGTTTAGTTGGGTATTTGAATTTTGGGTTTGAGTTTTTTATAATAAAAATTTTGAATTTAAATAATAATAAAAAATTTTCAATGAAAAAGAAATTTTTAAATTTCAATGAAAAAGAAATTTTTAAAATAATATTAAAAAATATATATTTGATTTAATACTTCTTAAAGAACCTATTCTAGATGTGGCATTTGTTTAGGGATGTCAACGGGGCGGGTTTGGGACGGGTTCTGCAGTCCCCGAGATCCACCCCGCTAGAAAATATTAGGCTCTGAGACTCGTCCTGCCCCGCTTTCACTTGGCCCTAGGACCCGCCTCGCCCCAAATCCTTCGGGTTTGGGACCAACCCGGCAAATCCGTTTTTTTTTTAAAAAAAATATATAATAATAAATATTTTTTTAACAATCGAATACTAAAACAAATAGCATTAAAAGCACAAAAAAAATTTAAAAACAATCAAATATTGATCCATAAAAATAAGATAAATAAATAAATAATATATTTTTATTATATAAATATACATATATTAGGTATAATAATTTTAAAAAATTATTTGGAGCATACGACTAATTGAATTTTATATTTAAAATTATTTAAGTAAATAAATAATATATTTTTATTATATAAATGTACATATATATTAGTTATAATAATTTTAAAAAATATCCGGATTCGGGTCCGGATTGGGGCGGGTTTTTAGTAAAACCCATAACCCGCCCCGAACCCGGCCGGGTTTAAAATTTTAAATTCACAATCCGCCCCGAAACATATTATTTAGACCCGAACCCGTCCCATTAAGAACGGGTCCGGGGCGGGTCGGGGCTAACTCGCCCCATTTGACATCCCTACATTTGTTTGGTTTAAATTGGTAGATTTTGATGTTTGTTGCTTTTAAGATAAAATAATAGTTGAATGTGTTATATTTTATATGATTTTATTGAAAATAATAAAAATAAAAATAATAATAATTAGTATTCTTGAAAAGAAAAAATTAGACATAAATCACAAGTCATGATATTGATTTTAAACTAACATCCAGGCCCATTAATAGAAGCCCAATCTAAGTTGATTGGACAATCAATTTATTTTCTTCTTCAACTTAGTTAATGAAATAATTATAAAATATAATATAAAATCAATATTGGTTCCGATCAAATTATTATTATTTTTTTATTTTTTATTTTTTATTCTATTAAAAAATAATTATTAAAAGTAGTTATATACAAAAAAGATATTATAATTATATAAAAAAAAAAAAAAGATATCATTATCTTTTGTCTTAATGTTGAAATTTCAATAAGATAGTAAACATAATGAGAATTGATGTGACATCTGATTTAGAATAAATAAGCCCATATTAACTCTAACAAAGATATATTGCTTCAATTAAAAATAAATAAATTATTGTTATATTTATACAAATACTGATTATTCCATTTTGAATACGTTAGTCGTTCAATATTAATTTACATTTTTCGAAAAATTCAAATTGGGATAGAGAAAATCGTATGCTACAAGGGTGATCAATAATATATATATATCAATATATTTATAATACAACATATATTATATTAAAATATATAAATATATGCTAGTCACCCTATAGCATATATTTATCCGGTCAAATTAA